TTTTAATCGGAAAACGTTTTTCGATTTTTTTTTTTTTATTGAATTGTTGCTCCCACGTCTAAAACGTAATTTTAATGACACGACACGAGAATATTCCCTGAAAAGAAGTGGAAAGAGGTTAAAAAGAAATTTAAATAAAGACGTTAAACGTTTGTTTTCTTTTTTTTTTTTTTTTTTGAAAAATAAAAACGTTTCGCGGTTTATTATTATGATTTGATTTTTCGACATTTTAACATAAAAAAATTTCTTTTTTTTTTTTAAACGATGATGGAAAAACATAATCACACACTACGGTGACAGTTATTTATAAAAAAAAAGGAAGAAAAAGTTTTCACGATTCTCTCTCTCTCTCTCTCTCTCTCTCTCTCTCTCTCTCTCTCTTATAATTCACGTTTTCAAGCACGTTTACTCATTTTAATTATATATGATAAAAAAAAAAAATGTAGGAGGAAAGGAAATATAAGATAGGAAGAGTGAGTGAGAGAGAGAGAGAAAGAGAGTAAAAAAACTTGAGTTATTACTCTATGAAAATGCCGATCCTCGGAATTATATCTTCATGACTGGATGATTTTTTGGTTTAACTTTTACCATAATTCTTTTTTAAATGTTTTTTTTTCATCCGTAATTAATTACTTTCGACGTTATTGTTTTCAAACCGGCAGCCAATAAAAAAAAAATTCCCCCCCTCCCCCCATCTCCTCCCTTCCTCTTCCCAAAGCGATAATAATAATGAGAACGTGAACGAAAATAAAGAGAAAACATAAAACAAATCGAACAAAATTTTATTAAAAAAAAAAAATGTATTCGTTACGAATGATTTAATTAATTTAACAACAATAATAATAATAATGATAATAATAATGATGATGATAATAAAGAGAAAAAGAAGAATAAGAAAAAGATGAAAGAGAGAAGAAAAACAAAAAAACAGAAAACAAAAAAATTTTTTTTTTCTCTCTCTCTTTTCCCGTGTATTAAATTTCTAAACGTAGTAATTATCATTGAAATTGTTTTTTATTAAATTTCCTTACGTCTGAACACGAACTGAACACGAATAAAAAAGGAAATAATAATAATAATAATAATAATAATGATAATGATAATAACGTTAATAATAAATTTCCTTTGTTCAGTTATTATAAAAACGTAGCAGTGGAAAAAGATTGTAATAATTGAGTATAAAAAAAAAGGAAGATGAAGAGAGAGAGAGAGAGAGAGAGAGAGAGAGACGGGGGGGGGAGAGTCAAAAAGGTAAAATGAGAAAGAAATAGAGAGGAGGAGGAATGAGGGAGATGGGGAGGAAGAGGGAGGGAAAAGATTTTAAAATTCAAAAAACGAATACAAATAAACACACGAAAAAAAAAAAAAATTTTTTTTTTTAAAAACAAATATACTCGTTTATATCATACGTTTAACAAAAAAATTTTTTCCTTTTTTTCCTTTTTTTTTTTCTCTATTTTTTTCCTTTGTCTTAATTTAATTTAATTTTTTTTATTTTAAACATTTGATATAATTTTATTTTTATAAACGACGCGTGTGACGAAAAGAAAAAAAAATTAATTTAATCCTCCATATTTGTTTTTTTTTTTTGTAAAAAAAAATCGACGGATTTATTTTTTTTTAATAGTCGAAAATGACCGGTCGACATGTAATAATAATAATAATAGTAATAATAAATTTTATAATAATATTAAAAAATAAATTTTATTTTATTTTTTATCGCGTTTTTACAGAAAGAAAAAAGAAAGAAAAAAAAAATTTTCCTTTTATATCAGCTTGTCCAGCGAAAATATTTTCGACGTACAAAAAAAAAAAAAAAATTAAAAGGACGATAAATTTTTTTTCTTTCTCTTTGCCCTTTTTTTTATTTTTTTTTCCTCTACGGGGTAAAATAATAATAATAATAATAATACTAAAAGAATGAAAAGAAAAAACAGGGAAACGAAGTCAAAATGGTAAAAAAAAAAAAATTACATAAAGAAAAAATTATTACGTCGAATTTTTTAAACTTTGAAGACAAACAAACTGGAAAAAAATTTCGTCGTATAAAAAATTCAATTCGATAAAAAAAAAGGAAAAAAAGGAAGAAAAAGGAAGAAAGAAAAAGGATAAAAAATTGCTTCTAGTCACACTTTTGTTAAAAACTTATATAATTTTATTACGACCCGTTTTGGTAAAGCAAAAAAAAAATAAAAATAAAAAAAACAATAAAATAAATAAAACAAATAAAATCAACACACAAACACAAAAACAATTTTTTTTTGTTCTCTCTTTATATCACCTCACGAGAGAATGCAAACGTCATCATCACACGTCACGCATTAATTAACTCCCTCCCTCCCTCCCTCCTTCCCTCCCTTCCTACTTTTCTCCTTCTTCCTCGTTGTCTCCCTCCTCTACCTTTACTCGTTTTCCTCTCGTCCACCTTTATAAATATTAAATGACGACCGGAAACGAATCGTAAAAATGAAAAATAAATAAATAAATAATAATAATATTGACAATAATTTTTGATATAAAAAAAGGTAAAGAGTGAGAGAGAGAGAGAGAGAGATTTGGAGAAGTAAAAACGAAGTGAGAGAGAATGAGAGAAAAAAAATTAAGATTGGGATTAAAAAATCTTAAAAGAGTTACATAGTTATGAGAGAGACCTTTGGAAAAATTAAAAAAAGATTAAAAGGAAGAATGAAAAATAAAAGGAAATATAATAAGAGAGAGAGAGAGAGAGAGGGAAACTAATAAAAAAAAAGAAGAGAGAAGAGAGAGGAAAAAATTCAAAAAAAAAGGGAAGAAATAAAAGGACAGATATGAGAAGAGGGAGTAAAAAAAAAGAGAGGAGGTGAGTTAAAAAGATTGTAAGAGTGAGAAAGAGAAACATTGATAAAAGTGTAAGAGGGAGAAAGAGAGAGAGAAGGATAGAAGAGAAAAAATTAAGATGAAAATTATAAAATAAAAAAAAAAAGAAAGACCGAGTGATTTATAAAAAAGTAGAATGAGAAAAGAGAACTTTGGAAAAATTGAAAGAAAAAGAAAGAGAAAAAAAATAGAAATAAATATAATAAGAAAGAAAAGGAGAGAGAGAGAGAGAGAGTGATAGAAAAAAAAGAGGACGAAGAGAGAGAGGAAAAAATTCTAAAAAAGAAAATGAAGAGATAAAAGGACAACAGAATTAAAAATAAAAAATAAAAAGAGAGAGGAAGTGATTTAAAAAAGATTTAGAAAGTGAGAAAGAGAGAGAAAAACTCAAATAAAGACAGTGAAAATGAGAGAGAGAAAGAGAGAGAGAGAGATATTGATATTCCAAACTTTAATAATAATTCCCAAATAATTGACATAACCGTATAATATCGAATTACTTTTAAAAACTTTTAAGAAGGTTTTATTTAATCCTTTCCTTTTTAAACCAAAAGGTTAAATCATTACAATAAAACTTATTCAACATTCGACATTCATTCATTCATTCATTCACTCATTCACTGACTGACTGTGTTATTGCACTAGAGAGATCAATAATAAAATTTCCTTTTAGAAAGTCGTATAAATTAGAAAATTTTTTGAAAACTCAGGTATAATAATCGGAAAAGGAAAAACGACCTTTTCCAGATACATATATGCATACATATTTATTTTAATTATACGTAGTTTTGATAATAATAATAATGATGATGATGATAATAATAATAATAAAGCTAACAAAAATTCCGACTCGCGGTTTTTGTTCTACTTATGCAATAATTAAGTTTTAAATGGATTCAATTTCCTTTTTGCCATTCAGAGGAAAAAGATTCTTTTCCTCCGTCTGTATTTTATTATTATTATTATTATTAAATGTTCAATTTGAAAGTCAAGAGAGAAAAAGAGAAAGAGCGAGAAAATCAAAAAAAAATAATAAAACAAATTTTCTCTTTTCTCTCTCTCTCTCAAAAAGGAAAAAAAAAGGGAAAGAAAAGAAAAGAAAAGAAATTGATTTCGATGGTTTGTAAAATTAAAATGCCTTATTTAAAACTATTTTGTGGGGAGAGGGAAAAGTAAATACAAAGAAAGAAAAAGAAAGAGAGAGAGAAGTGGAAAGTTTCGAGAAACAGAGAAAAAAGGTGAAAAGAGCAAAGGAAAAGGTAAAAAAGGTAAAAAAAGAAATTTTTTTTTTTTTTTTTCAATACACACTTTTCAAAATTTTAGTAAATATAAAATAAATTGATTAATTTATTTACTTATTTATTTATTTATTTTTTAATAGATTTTCATCTAACGAGTTTCATTCAAGCAAAAGAAAAAAATTTCTTAAATAAAATAAAATTAAAAAAAAAAGAAAATTTTGTTAAGAAAAAAAAAGAAAAAATTTTTTTTTCGGTTTGATTAATAAAAAATAATTTGCCGCCGGTTTTCAATTTTTTCTCTTTTCTTTTTTCGGAGAGAGGTGGGGGTGGGGGGAAACGGGCGGCGGCAGAAGAAAATGAGGTGGATTTAAAAATTAATCAAACGAAAAAGTATTATTATTATTATTATTAATAACGATTTTAATTTAAACGAATCGAAAATTTAAAATTCAAGAAATTCTAAGGAAGAAATGATTCGAGGAGGAAGAAAGAGAGGGAGAGAGTAAAGGGGGAAAAAGGAAAATGAAAAGGAAAAGGAAATAAAATTTGCAACGTCAAAATTCGGGTTGTCCAATTTCCGTTTCAAAAAAAAAAAAGAAAAATTTTTTGAGAAAAAAGCATAAAAAAAACTTTTCCGATTAATCAGCAACAACTAATTATTCTACAAATTTTTTATACAATAAAATAAATTTTTCCGCCATTTTGTTTATACGTACCTTCCCAATCACCCGCACTCACACCACTAAAACCACGCCCCCCCTTTTTTTTTTAATAACTCCCGCCGTATTTTTTTTTTTTAAAACTCAATTCGTTGGCTCCTCCCACTATTTTCTCACACACTCTTTAATCCCTCCACCACCACCACCACTCATCGCGTCATAATAATTTTAAAAAAAAACTTACCCAATATTCCCAGGCGATAGTTTATTGTAACGACAACGATTCCGCCGTAAGAAGCGAGAACGGATCCGTCATACGGATTTCCAGAATTCCATTCGTATGATTCTCCATGTACGAAAAGCAAAACAGGATATTTTTTAGATCCCGCTGAATCCCTTGATCCGGCTGGAAAAACAAAAAAAAAAAAATAATACCTTTTGCCTTTTGCGTGAGAGAGAAAAAAAAATCGTTCTTTATGTTTTTCTTTTTCTCTGGAAATTCCAAAATTGCAAAAAAAAAAAAAAAAAAAAGGAAAGAAAAAAAACCGTTCGCGAGAAATGCGAGAACGAATAGTGGGGGAAGGGGGATGGAGGTGAGGTGGGTGTGGGGAAGAAGGGGGGGAAAGAAAAGATGAAACGCATAAGAAAAAAAAAAAAAAAAAAATTCTACGTAAATCGAAAAAGAAAAAAAATAAAAAAGAAAAGAAATTTTTTTTTGCTTTAGTTATGGAAAAATTTTAAAGAGAGAGAGAGAGAGAAAGAGGTCAAAGGTCGTAAAGGTTATTTTATAAAAATAATGAAAAATGCCACGTTAAATAAGTAATAGTCACGCGTATTTGATAAAAATTTTTTTCGGTTTTTTTTTCTTTTTTTTATTTTCCACACAAAAAAAATTTTTCTTCAGGTTTTTACCCTTTTACATTTTTACACCCCCACCTCCCCCCCGGAAAATAAAAAAAAAAAAACAAATTTTGACACCGTTTTCTCTCTCTCTCTCTTTTTCTCTCACTTGAATAAAAATGCAAGTTTTAAATTTTTTTTTTTTGGTTGAAAAAAATTTATCGTCACGCGAAATAATTATTAAGGGGATTTTATTTCCCGTTTGGAATTTTCCGACCCCAAAATTTTCCCACCGGAAAATTCAAAAAAAAAAAAAAAAACGACGTTAATCTCTCAAAATTTTTTTTTTTTATTATAATTTTACACTTTTTTGTATTAATTAAACGGGTAAGATAACTATATAAAAATTTAAATATTCTTTACCCCCCCCCCTTTTAACAAAAAAAAACAAATTTTCCGGGGAGTCATTTAATAAATTTTTTTTTTTCCCGTGGTTGGAGGTTTAAAAATTTAAATTGGGGAGATTTTGAAAAACGTGAATATTCACTTTTTTTTTGAGAGAGAGAAAATTTTCCCTTTCGTTAAATCAAATTCAAATAAAAAATTTTCCGACGGAATTGTTTTTTAAAAAAAAAATTTTTCCGCTTCTTCACCTTCACAATTTTACTCCCCCCCTCCCCCGGCATTTTCCCTCACGTTTTCATTCACTTTTTTCCCGCGTAAATTTTTTTTTTTTTTTTTTCAAATTTAATTTTTACGACGTCATCGATCTTTTCAAACTTTTTTTTTGTTTTATTTTCTTTGTCGTTTAAAAAGTTGTTCGATTGTTTAAAAAAAGTTTAAAACAAAACAATTAAAAAAAAAAAAAACGTGGAAGAAGAAGACAAAAAATTTCATTAAAATACAAACACGTTTGTTAACGCCCCCACAAAAATAATTTTTTAAATCGAATTTTTTCCATAAGTTAAACACAAAAAAAAATAATTTTTTCGCTTTTCTTCTCTCCCTCCTTTCGTCAGAGATTTTTTTTACCTGAAATACAAGAAAAATTTTTTCCACTTTATCAATAAATCCGGGGAGGGAGGAGGGAAGATAGAGAGAGGAGGGAAAGGAAAATTTAATAAATAGAAAATTTCTGGGGGGGAGGGAAGGGAAAGTTTAAATAAATGAGAATCCATAAAGAAAAAATCAACTCGGAAAAATGTTTTACATTTATCATATATTTATTTACTTTTTTTTTTGTTTGTTAAAGTTTGTCGTTGTTCTGGTTGTCGTTGTTGTTGTTGCGGTTGTTAGTTTTTGAAAACGGTCAACAACGACAATAGCAAGAAAATAAAAACGATTTTTTAAAAATTTAAAAATTATTCGAGAATGAATTTTTTTTTTTTTCGAGGCCACGACGCAATCGCAGAGTTTCAAAAAAAAAAATAAACCCGAACGTGAATATGACGTTCGCATATACGTAATCCACACGTTCGTATTATTATCGGTAGGGTAACCGTTCGGTATGACTTCGTACAAAATTATAAATTCATTGTCGGACATTTTTAAAAATTACGACAGAAAAAATAAAATAAAATTTTTAATTTTTATAAATTTTTTAAAATTTTCGCGGGAAAACGTGTAAATAAAAAATTTTAATCGTCGTGTCGCAAAACAAAACGTGACGTCACGTAATCGAAACGAGGAATAATAAAAAGAGAACGAGAGGAATAGAGAGAGAGAGGAATAGAATGACAACGATGATGATATTTTTTAACAACCATATCCGGTTTTAAAACGGACGTTAATTATGACGTGTACACACACGCACGCACGCACACACGCACGAAACAACGTATCATTCGTTATTCTGTCAATTATGATTTATATTATGATTAATTATTTTTTTATTTTTTTGTCGCACGAATAAATAATAATTTAAATGAATTTATAATTTTTTTTTATGTACGTGACATTTCAGGTAGCAGACGATATTATTAAATAATAATAATAATAATAATAATAATCCCTTTGATTTTCGTACACGCAAAAAATTTTATAAAAAAAATAAAAAAAATCAATAAAATCAGCGACAAAATCTGTCGACGTTTTCAAATTAAATTTCAGGGAAATTTTTTTTTCTTCTCATTCGCGTAAAAGGTAGGTTGGCAACAATGAAATTTATAAAAAATTTTTTCTTCTGTTTTTCTTTCCCCATTCTCCCACGTACCAAACATATTTTGGCGCGAAATTTTTAAATTTTATTAAATATCGCCGTAATGTAAGAAAAAAAATCGATTTCCTACCAAAATAAAATTTTTCGCCGCCATTTTTTTTTTATTTTTTAACACGAAACGTTTTTCTCGTTGTTGTTGTTGCTGTTGTGGTTCTACGTACGATAAATTTAATTTCGTTTATTTGTTTGTTTTTATGAAAAAAAAATTTTTTTTTAAAGGCAGTAAAAATATGATGGCGTGTGCGTGTGCGTGTTGTGCGGGTCAAATACAAAAACCGAAAATGCGGTTTTAATCGGGGCTCATTTGCCCCGAAGTCTTTTTACTTTGTTTTAATGCGGTTTCAAAATCCGGAAATCATAAAAAAAAAATTTTTTTTTCTTGCATTTCCCCTTGAATCCGCAATTCCGCGTATTATGCGAAAAATTTCATAACAAACCTTTTCCTCTAACATTTTTTTTTTTTATTAATTAATCGAACAAATTAACAACGGGATTTTTTTTTTTTAAAATAATAATTTCGAAAACGAATCAGAAACAAACAAACAAACAACCCACAGTAATAATAATAATAATAATAATAATAATAATAATAATAATAATAATAAAAGTCAACGGCCATACCGTGCTGGTCACACCGGTTCCCGTACGATCACCGAAGTTAAGCAGCATCGGGCGTGGTGCAAACTTGGATGGGTGACCGTTTGAGAACTCCACGTGCCGTTGGCTTAAAAAGAGCAAAAATGAGAACAAGACAAAGTAAGAACCAAAAACAAATCTTGTTCTACTGTCGACCTGAGGCAGCTCGACGAGAATGTGAATTTCACTGCTTCTGACCCTGGCCACTCCAAAGATGTTAGTCACTGGAGCCCAGTTCAGGAGACAAATCGTTCCCATCGAATAAAGATGGACTCAGGAAGACCTTCAAGAATTGATGTGGTGCTATCTTATAATAAAGTGGCACCACCGAAATTCGAGTATTTGTCCCTAAGGAATCGGGTAGAAACCTCGGATAAATACTTAAAAACCCCGACAAGTAGCCTTGTCGTGTTTAATGGTGGATAATAATAATAATAATAATAATAAATATGCAAACGATTATTTTATAAAAAATTTATTACACAACAAGAGTTTTTGTTTCATTAAAAAACGTTTTACGTAAATTTACATAAATGCTTATGTTTTCGTTGTTTATATTCGCTAACCTTCTGTCGTCTGTTTGTTTGTTTGTTTGTTTGTATTCGTACGTGTCAGAGTTTAAATAACCAACCAACTCACGTAACTCGTTTATAATTTAATAAAATCGAGACACAAGACTTATTGCGGTTTTTTTTTTTTTTTGTTTTATTTACAAAACTAAAATTTTAACAAAACCGGAAACGAATTAATAAAACCGGGGAGGGAGGAAGAAAAAAAATTTTCAAAAGATTGAATGAATGAATGACTGAATGACAATTAAACTAAACATGAGAGAAAAGACGACGTACGTGACGGGGAAGAAAAACGCAAAAAAAAAAAAAAAAGAAAAACTGTCAACGACGATTTAACGCTCCCGTTTTGTATTTTAATACAAACAACGAAACAAACAAAATAGTTTTGAGTTATGAAAACAATCGTTCGTAATGTTTATTATTATTATTATTATACACTTTCAACAGCTCAATTAAAACGTGGAAAATGATGAAGGTAAAAAGTTTTTTTTTTTTTTTGAAAATTTTACACGCAGTCAATTAGAAAACTTTTGTTTGTACTCGATAAAACAAACAAAAGGAAAAAAAACAATTTTTTTTTAAACATCACCGGAATGTTTTTGTTGTAATTAAAATTTACAGTGGAAGAAGAAGAAAAAAAAAAAGAAATGAGGAGGAAGACGAGGAGTAAGGAGGTGGAAGTGGATGAAGAATAAAAAATTAAAAAAAAAAAAAAACAAATATGGCGAAATTAAGATTTATAACCGAAAAGGTAACAAACAAAGAAACAAACAAACAAACAAATGAACGAAGGAAAAAATAACAAAAACATCGGCGACATGAAAATATTTCCACGACAGGAAGTAAAACTTTTCTTTCTTTTCTTTTATTTAACGAACCCTAAAATTTTATGAATAGAAAAGGAGGGGAGTGGGAGGAAGGGAGTGGAGTGCGGGGGGGCGAGGGGGAAGCGGAGTAATAAAGGGTAAGTCGGAAAAGTTTTTTTTTTTTTTAGAAAAAAATCTACGAAAAAAATTTTTCCAGTCCTTTTTTCCCTTGCCTGCCCTCCCTCAAAAAACAATACACGGGAAAAGAAAACAAAAAGAAAGTTTTGGCGTTTGTTGAAAACAAACAAACAGACTCAGTACTCACCTTGTGCCGGAGCGTATATGTTCAGGTACAAACAGTCTTCGCTTTGATTTTGTAAATGCGGAAGTAACCTTTTCAAATAATCCAACCTTCCTTTGGGCATTCGTTTTAACGCGAGCGTTTCGTTTTTTATATCCGGTAAACGCTGCGGACAAACCGGACTGAATTTATCTGCGTATTTAACTCCTGACCATAGAGCACCGCTCACGGGTGGCATAAACCTTAAATTTCCCGTCGGTGGCATTGCGTAGGGTATACCGCGAAACACTTCGACCGGTTCGAGATGTCTCGAATCTAACGATACGATTATTCCGCTTACGTCACCGTATTTAGTTCGAACTATACGCGTCGTTAGAGGCGGCGTCGTTTTTGACGATTTAACAACACTTCCACCACTGTAACTTTCAACCGTATCAACCGTTTGATAACTCGAATACCTTCCTACGTTAGACTCTCTATAACTTTGATATGGAACGTTCATATTATTATTATTATTATTATTATTATTATTATTATTATTATTATTTAAATTTATATTTCCATTTATGTTTTCAACGTCTCTTAAATATCTTTTATCTTGTCTCCTGTTGTTGGCGTTGTTGACGTTGTTGACGTTCGCGTTTTTGGCGTTATTCGCGTTGTTGCCGTTATAATTTTCAAATTTTCCAACGTTTCCGTTTTTGATTTGAAAATCTATCGAGTCGCTCGTCACGAGTCCCCCAAGTATTTGTACTAAGAAAATAAATGTGACGACGATAAAGCGGCAGGTAAATCCTACGCCCAATGAAAATCGATTCGATCCTATGTAACGACAGCATTTCCAACCAATTACAACCATGGCTGTTTGACTTCCTGTCAAATGAAAAAAAAAAATATTGTTAATAATAATAATAATAATAATAATAATAATAATAATAATAATAATAATAATAATAATATGATTTTAAATTCGTTCGAAAAACAACAGCAGAAAAACTTACCATGAGGATGAAATTTTCTTTTTTTTTTCCTTTTGTTTTTCTTTTTTGTTTTTTTTTGTTTTGTTTTTATGACGTCACTTCCCGTTTATAGAAAAAAAAAACTCGAACGATTTAATTTACATAACCCCTAAAAAAAAAAAACCGGAAGTCGATTTTATTTTATTTTTTATTTTTGTTTTACGTTTTTACGCGTCACGCAGACGGGGGGAAATTTTTTTTTTTTTGATTATTACATTTAAAACTTTCTATTAAAAAAAAAAAAAAAATTATGTAGTGCGTGCGTGCGTGTGGGAGGTAAAGGGTCAAAGGTTAAATTTGAAAATTATTTATTTACTTAATTAAAAGAGATGAGTGAGTAAGACGACAACCAAGGGAGGTCAACGACGCAAAACCAAAAAAAAAAATACAATACCGTGAATGTCTATTATTATTATTATTATTCGTCGTCGTCGTCGTCTGCTAGAGAAAATTATTTCGATGTGGGTGAGAGTAAGATTTAATCTTCATATTTATTACCCTCCCCCCTCCCGAAAAAAAAATTATTTATTATAACCATTAAGAAGAAGAAAAAAAGGTAAAAATTTAAAAACGTTAAAAGTAACAAACAAACAAACGAACAAAAAAAAATTTTCTTTAAATCGTTTTTCTTTGTGTTGACACCACCCCCCACCCCCCACCACCACCATCATCATCATAATAATCATCATTATCATTATCTTTTCGCTTCTCACATTTCTTTTTTTTGTTGCTCTTCCTCCCTCGTAATTTTTTTATTTATTCTTTTCTCTCTCTCTCTCTATCTATCTTTCTCTCTCTTTTTCTTACCATTTCCTTTCAATCTCATTCTTCTTAACTCTCATTTTCATTTTTTTTCTTCATCTTTTGTAAAAAAAAAAAAATAAATAAAAAAGACTCAACGGAAAATGATGAAAAGAAAAAGATTGAAGTGGAAGAAGAAGAATGGTAACAGAAGAAGAAGGAGAAGGAGGAGGAGGTTCAACATCCGATCCGCACACAACAAACAAACAAACAAACAATACAATAAAAAAAAAAAAATAACTTTTTTTATATAAAAACTTTTTCCCATTTTTTCTTTTTTCTTTTCTTTTCTAAAATGAGAAGATGAGGTATAATGAGCCTTAAAGGTAGAAAAGATAGAAGAAAAAGAAGAAAACTTTCAACTTTTTTAACAGGTAATAATAATAATAACCTTAAAAAAAAAAAAAAAGGAGAAAAAATTTCATCATTGTCTTTGTTGATGACAGGAAAAAACAGATTCAAGTCAGTTTTTTTAACTCCCAACAGCAGCAGCAGCAGAAGAAAAAAAAAAAGAAAAACAGACAGATTGATCGAATTCTATTTTTGGCTGAATCTACAAAAAAAAATCCACTTTGATTGATGGCATCCTAAAAAGATTTAAAATTAATTTTTTTTTTCTTTTCCTCCATTTTTAAAAATTTTAAAAATGAGTGAATGAGAGAGAGAAACTACGTGGAAGCAGAAAAAAATAACAAAAATTTACGTAAAAATTTCTTTTACAAAAAAAATTTTTTTCATTCGCCACTTCAACCTCATTCCCACAGAGTTTTCACACTCCTCCCCATCCCCTCTCTCCTCCAACACCACCACCACCGACGTTTCCCTTCAATTACTCTTATTTCGACCCAATGAAAATAATTTTGACCTTTTAACCTTTTTGTCTTTGTTATTTTCAGGCTATTACCACGACATCAATCAAAAAAAAAAAAAAAAAAATTTCATTTAAAAACTAAAATTTTCCTGTCAAAAAAAATTGACCGATTTGATCGTTGGTATGACGTCACACTAAAAATTTTTTTTTTTTCATTCAAATTCCGATTATGATATAAATTGTATGACGTCATGAAAAATCAAACCTCGGTTTGAAAAAATAAAAAAATTTTTATTCGAGTTGGAGAGTGAGAAAGAGGGAAAGAGAAAAAAATAAGAAAAGAAAAATCAGGTGCGGTTTTAAGGATGCGATGACGACGACGATGATTTCCTTGAAAAGTTTAAAAAAAGTTCAATGACCCCCCGGGATTTAAATTTTAAAAAACTTGCAAAAATTTTTTTTTTTTTTTTTAAAACACGCACTCACGCATAAAAATTTGTTTTAATAATAATAATAATAATAATAATAAAAGGTAAATTTTAAAATGATTGATTGATTGACTAACTGACTGACTGACTAACTGATAGATTGATTGATTGATTGATTTAACGATAAAAATTCATTTAAACGGGTTGAAAACGTTTTTTTTTTTTCGGGTAGAAACAAAAAAAATAAAAATCAGCCCGGGGGGTAAGAGAAAGGGGGGAGTAACGGGGGAAGGGGGTTGTAATTTTTTTTTTGCCCTTTTCTCTCGTTTCCGACACACGCACGCACGCACTCACGCACGCGAAAAAATAATTTTTCCAACCTTTTTTTTTTAAATTTTTCGTGTTTTTTTAACGCACTCCCGAAATAATTTTTTTTTAAAGGCGTCGTCGACGACGACGACGTCGACGTTAACGATAACAATAATAATAATTATTATTATTATTTATCCAGAGATTATTATTAATTCACTACCGCGAATGACACAGGCACAAACGCACAAAATTTAAAAAAAAAAAAATTGTAATTTATCCTTTTTTGTAAGTAATTTTTTTTTTTCGGGGAGATGATAGGTTTTCTGAGGTGGGGGGGTGGAGGAGTGTAAATGGAAAAAGGGTAGGAAATTAATATTCGCGAGGAGTCGTACTGGAAAACCGAATTTAAATTTTTTTATTTCTAGAAAAAAAAAAGAAAAAAAAATTCAAATTCAATATCGAAAATGTTAAAAAAAATAACGTAAAGTGCGTACGAATCGAAATCGCGACACAAACTAACCCCCGGAATTACCCTTAAAAAAGTTTTAAAGGACGCATGACCAAAAATACATGGAAAACGCATGGCTTTTGCAATTTTCAAAAAAATTTACTTCCCCCCTTTCCTACTCTCTTTTTTCTCCCTACCTCCCCTCGAAAATGGAACAGAGAAGAAGGAAGAAAAAAAAAACCCTTTTTTCGACACCAACGAAAATTTTTAACGAAAAAAAAAAAAAAATTTTTTTTTTTTTTCTTTTTCTCCAGTTCGTTTATTCGTAATGACCTCCTTCCCCCTTTCCCTCCTCCTTTTCCTTTTCCAAAACGTCACGTTTAAAAAAAAAAAAATTCAAATATCGATTTCGTAATCGAAATCCCATCAAACGAATCAATTAATTTAATTATGACAATATTACGAAAAAGAACATTCCGGAAAATTTCTCGCCTTTTCCAACCCCCTAAAAAAAAAAAATTAATTTTTTTTACCTTTTAAGTAAATTTTCCTTTTTCTGTTGTTCTAGTCGTTCTTCAACATCGTCGTCATTTCAGTCGGTCATTCTTTGAAGTTGAAAAACCTTAAAATAAAAAAACAAAAAATATTATTAAAGGATAAAATGTAATGTAAAAAGATTTATTTATACTTCACTAAATAAATGTTAAAAAAGGTTTTCTAAGAGAATTTTTGTCATTTACAATCCGGAGATTTGATTTTCTATTTATATAATAGATAAGGTTAATATTATTTTATTTATAACTTAAATTCTGGAGAGAAAAATCAAAAAGTAAAAAAAGGTTCAGGTATCTTTTGTCTCTCTCTCTTTCTCTTTCTTTCCTTCCTTTATTCTTTCTGGAAAGTTATTTAGGTTATTTTTTTTTTAAAATCAATTTATCTTTTTTAAGACGGGTTTTCTTTTTTTTTTTTTTTCTTTTTATTGAATAATTTACGAAAGGTTTGGAAAGGTTTCAAAAGGTTTTTCTTTTCTTTTATTAACAAGAATGTACCTTTATTTTTTTTTATTTTGTCAATCGATTTAAAGGTTGTTATTAAGTAAAGTTTTTTTATATTTGAGATAGAGAAAGGGTGTAATAGGTGGAAAATGAGAAGGAGTGATACAGAAGGATCGAATGGAAGGTAAACGAACAGGTAGATAAAAAGAGAGACAAAGACTCAAATGAACAGTAAGAGAAAGAGAGAAAGATCCAAAAAAAGAGAAAGAAAGAAAAAGAGAAAGAGGGAAAAAATTTACATATAGGCACATATAGATAGAAAATTAGAAGAATCAACGCTGGGAAAATAAAAAAAAAGAACAAAAGAGGAAGAGGTGAAAGAGAGAGAAAGAGAAAGAGACACGAGGAGAACTCGAGGAGAATACGAGGAAAATGAAAAAGAAAGAGAGACAGAAAAAAACCACAAAGAGAATTAAAAAGAGAAAGAGAAAACAAAAAGAGAATTAAAGAGACAATAAGACACAAGGAAAATAAAATAGAGAAAGAGAGAGAAAGAAAAAAACGAACAAAATAAAAGAGAGAGAGAAAGAAAGAGACACGAAGGGAATTAAAGAAAGAGAGACACGAGAAGAACACGAGGAGAACTAAAAAAAGAAAGAGGCACAAAAATAATAAGAGACACGAGAATAAAACAGAGACAGAGAGAGAGAGATAAAAAGAAAAGTACAAAATAAGAGAGATAGAGAGAGAAAAAAAAACGCAAAAAGAATTAAAAAAGAAATAGAGAAACATATACGAATAGAATTAAAGTGAGAGTGAGAGAAAGAGAAAGAGATAAAAACATAAATTTTATTCAATTCATTTTGAACTTTTTTTATTTTTTTTTCCTTTGGAAAATTTTTTATTTTCCAAACATATCGGAAAATAGTTTAGTGTAGAAACCGAACGAACGCATTTTGACAGTAACATAAAGATTGAATAAAAAAAACATCGTATGAGGATTAAATGTAAACCTTTTTCTTCTCTCTCTCTCTCTCTTTTGTAAGTTAACCACCACCACCACCTGGGAAAACCTTTCAAGGTAAATTCTTTGTTATGCGTGTATGCGTGCGTGTCATTCCATGCTCTACATGAATGAAAGGAGAAAACCGAGTAAACTGGAAAAAGTCTTAAAATGATTTATTACACTTTAGGAAAGGTTTAACAAAAAAAAAAATAATTGCACACGCGTATAAAAGGTTAATCAAAAAAAAAAAGTGGAAATAGAAAAGTATAGAAGTGGAAGGAGAATCAAAAAAAAAAAAAAACCTTGAATAACAACCAAGTATTAATTATAAAAGTGTTACACGAACGAACAACCGCCAACCGTTTGTACAAAAAAATTTTTATTTTTTTTTTTTACATTCCGCCATTTTTCTTTTAAACATCCGCCATTTTTTTTTAGAGGGGGGGGGAAATTAAAGAAAACTTTTTAACAATATTTTTTTCAAGAAAACATGTAAAATTTTCTTTGACTTACGACAAAAAAAAAAAAGGTTTAGAATTATAACAAACGAATCACTTTTAAAGTTTGTTTTTAATGTCGGCGGTATAGTCGACTGCGGTATCGGCGGTGGCGGTAGCGACAGTGGCGGCGTCGGCGGAATTTTCCCATACTTTTGACATTCATCACTTTAAGTCACATGTTTTTCTCAAGCGGTTAAAACGTTCATCAATCACGGAAAATTTTTTTTTTTTTTTTTTTTTTTTTCACTACTTTTGAAAATTCAAACTCTGTTCGATTTTTTCCCCCCAACCTTTTCCATTTTTTTTTGTCTTCTGCTTTTAACTTATTTAAAAAAAAAAAAAACAATAAAATAAAAATCGTTTGTTCGTTTTACGTTATAATTTAAATAAATATCATTCGATTTTTTTTCTTTCCCCTTTAAATTACAAAAAAAAGTTAAATAGAAAAAACCTAATTACGGTCCTGATTTTTAATATGTATACATGTTACGATCACAAAACGTTTTTTTTTTTCTTTTTTTTTTATGGAATTTTTCCATGGAGTCATAATTTCGTTAGGTTTTCGTCAGAGCGTAAAAATGCGGCAACTAAAAAAAAAAAAATATGTCACGTTTTCTGTATGCGTGTATGTTTATCACCTTCACCATTATTTACCTTACGATAAAATCATTCTTTTTATAATTTTTCCCCACTCATTAAAATATTTATCATTTCATTTAATCTTATATTTAGTTTACGTAATTATCAATCTTTTTAAAATAAAAATAATTTTCCCGAGTGAGTGAATGGACGCCTGATGAAAAATTTTCCTATTTTTTGTTTTTTTTTTTTTGCAAAAAATTTCGATATATCGAAACGATTATTTAAATAATCGAAAATCGTTTGTTACATATTTCGAGATTTTTTTTTAAAAAAAATAATAAATCATTTTTCATTCGTTTATAAATAAATCGTGACGTTTAAAAAAAAAAAAAAAAAAAAAAAAACGTTTAGCTTATGGTACGGTGACAAAAAGTGAAAAAAAAAATTTTTTTTTTTCCGTTTTTTTTTTTTTCCAGTCGGTTTTTTTCAAATAATAATAATAATTTTTTTAAAATAAATTACTGGAAACGATAGAAAATTATCCAGAGAACAAAATAGTTAAAAATTAAATAAAAATTATTGTAAAAAAAAAAGAAAAAGAAAAAAAAAAATTCACCGATTTTTCCAACGATTTCCCCAAATTCGTTTCTCTCCCTGTCTCTCTTTCTCCAAAAAAAAACTTTTCCAGACATTCCTTATCATTATTTTTTCCATGATAAAAATTTTTAAATACAATGTATATATATAAAGTGCAAAATCGAAACAAAGTGAGAGAAAATCAAAAAAAAAATTTTCATCCATTCGTTTATTTTGGAATTTGATTCTCCTGGAGAAATTTTTTCCCACCTGGAAAATAATATTACTTACGTCATTCACTCTTTATTTAAAACATAATCCAGAATCCGCAATGCGGTTCAATTGACCAATATAATAATAATAAATGCATAAGATTCATCCATTAACGTTCTCGTATGCAGAAAAACAAAAAAAAAAAAAAAAATGTTCGAAAAAGGTTTTACTCATTAATCGAATCAACGCATAAATATTTCATTGATTTAATTGCTGTCGGATTTTAAAATTCAAAATTAGATAATATACAAAATGAGAACAACAGCAACAACGACAAAAAAAAAGAGAGAGAGAGTGGGAGAGTGTGAGAGAGAGAGAGAGAGAAAAGCAAATATTTAAATGACTTTGTTTGAGTTAGTTTACACGAAGTTTAAATTTTTTATCACGGGGGGGGGAGATAAAAAATTTTTTTTCGGAGAATTTTTCCCTCCCCCACCCCTCCTCCTTTCCCTTATTTGTTGGGGTTAAGTTGGCAGCATCAACGAGTAAAAAAAAATTTAATAAATAAAATATTTTATTTACATTTTTTAAAAAAAAAAAAAAAACAAACAAACAAAAAAAAAATTTTCCTTTTAAAACAACAAACCCACTCTCTCTCTCTCTCTTTTTAAAAACAATTTTATTAATTAAAAAATTAAATTTATTATTATTATTATTATTTTAAATTAAAAATAAATCAACAAATTGATTTGTCCAAAAAGAAAAAGAAATCTCTAGAAAGTACAAAAAAAAAGAAAAGTTTAGTTCTGCCTCGAGAGAAATTCGATTTGTTGTTGTCTGTTAAATGATAATCCGCTTCGTCTAGCATAAACAAACACAAAACGGTCGCATTGGGAAAGAAAAAACACAACAAACAAACAAACAAACAATAATTTAACAAAAGAAAAAGAAAACAAAATGAAGAAAAAGAATGAAAGAAAGGAAAGAAAATAATGAAAAAAAAAAAAAAATTTACCAACCAACCAACAATTTCTTTATAAAAAATTTTTTTTTCTTTTGTTTTCTAAAATTTTCTAGAATTTTCTAAAAAAAGCAAATTTTTTTTTTTTTTTTACGTATATACGTACGTGTCACCTACGACACGCCCTCTCATATTTCCATGCGAAAAACAAAAAAAAAAAAAAATGAATAAATAATGATCCCATAAATAATAAGTAATAACACCTAGTTTAAAAAAAAATAATAATAATAATAATATGGTGGGGGGGGGTATAAAAAAAAATCATAGAATAAAAAAATAAAAAAGTCATAGAAAATAAAATTGGAAAAGATTTTTTTTTCCTTTTTTTTTTTTTTTAAATGATGTATGATTTCGTGGTAAAAGAAGGAAAGAGAAAGAGAGAGAGAGAGGGGGAGAGAAAGAGAAAACGAATAAATCGGTATAAAAGAAAAAAAAATGGCGATCACGTTTTACCTATCGATAAATAATAATAATAATAAAACAAAATACGACGACCATTTTGTACAAAAAAAATAAAAAAATCATCAGTAATTGTAAAAAGAAAACAAGGCTCCGGAAGGCATTTTTTCGCGTAATTTTTTTTAACGAACGCGCCCGACCCCTATCGGGAAATTACCCTAACTAAAAAATTAATTACTTACGTATGCGTACCCGACATATTTACACCCTTAGTGACGTCATATCGGGTTAAAAACGAAACGCGGGGAAAAAGTTTTGTTGATCTACTTGAAAAAATTTTTTTTTCTTTTCTGTTAATGGGAGGTTGTTAAACGTTGTTTCTGGAGCGGGGAGGGAATGGGGAGGGGAGCGGGAGGAAGGAGGATAAAAGTTTTGAAAAAGTGTGTTAATTACACGACTAAAATTAACACTTCGAAGGGATTAATATAATACTTAGAAACCTTGTCGTCGCGTAATAGGGTTTTCAAAAAAACGCGCGTACGGAACGTCGTGGCAGTAAAAATAAAATAAACCGACCACGTTAAAACACACTCTCTCTATCTCTCTCTCTCTTTCTCTCTCTCACTCGAAGTTAAATTTATTAGTTTCCCATAAATAAATTTTAATATTTTATTCGTATTGACCTTTGATACGTTTTCGCACAAACATTTTCTCTCATTCGCTTATATAAATTTTCTAATTTCACGACGATTGTTCTCCTCTCTCTCTCTCTCACACACACACAGACTCTCGTTGAAAAAAGTACCTATTTAAGTTTAAAAAACAAACACGTCGTCGTGTCGTTGTTCGAACCGGATTTAACACACGTTTATTTATATAAATATAAATTTTTTTCTTTTTTCCTTTTTATATATTTAGAATTTTACTTTTTTTTTTTTCGTAAAAGAATTTGCTGTCGAAAATAAAACTTTCAATTTTTTTTTTATTTTTTTTGAATTTCTGCCAGTGACGGCCATTATTTGGACGTCAGTTGAGTTCGATTTCAGGGTGATATTCGATTGTGGCACGCAAATCATTTATTTTATTTTTTATTTATACTCTCGCACGCACACGTACACGCACACGCACACGCACTCAAGTACGAACGTGTTTTTTAAACATTTTTTTTTTTTTTAATTTTTTCTTCTCGCGTATTTCCGGTTTTTCCAGTGGCAAAATAAAAAAGTGACGGGTACGGTTATTATGTGAAAAAATTAATAATAATTCTTTAGACTCTTGGGAGGGAGAAGTGGGGAGGAAGAAAAGTGAAAATAAAAGAAACAAATTATTATTATTATTATTTTCGTGCCACGATTTCAAAAAAACTCACGACTTACGGTGGTAATAATAATAATAAAAAATAAGAACGCGATTGTTTTACGTTTTTTTCATGATGTTCGCGAACGTATCGTTATAATAATTATTGCTGTCGTCGTCGTTGTTTCTCGTTATTATTATTATTATTATTATTTTTAAAAAAAATGGCGGAAAAAAGGTTTTTTTCGAGTGATAATAATGCGACAATAACAATATTGACCGTATTGATACTTTTGCAATTTCACGTGTTTAGCGTTTTTTGTGATTTGCACGGATTTTCACCGCAAAAAATGTCACCGGATGAACAAAAGGATGTCGGAAGTGGTGGCGGTGGTGGTGGGGGTAGTCGTAGTGGAGAATGGTTTTACAAATCCATAACAAAAGGTTTTAAATTACCTGATCGGGATGGCGGTGGTGGTGGTGGTGGTGGAGTGGGTAAATTTTCTAAAACGGGAGAAATATTAACGCGTGAAATAAAAATAAAACAGGGTAAATTGAGGGGCCTGGTAAAAGAATTTAAAAATAAAAAATTAAAAAATGTCGAAACTTTTTTGGGGATCCCATATGCGGCGCCCCCGGTTAAATCCCTAAGGTTTATGCCGCCGGGAAGTCCGCCAACGTGGAAAGACGTTAAAATTTTCGATTATTTCAAACCTGTTTGCCCTCAAAAGGCACCGGATTTAAATCACGAACCTTTGAAAACTATCAACGCCGGTTATTATAATCGTTTGAAAAGGCTCATGCCTTTTTTAACGAATCAAAGCGAGGATTGCCTTTATTTAAACGTTTACGCACCAGTAAGAGGTAAGATGAAAAAATAATTACGCCGCGTATTAACCCTCTTTCCGCCCTCTTTCCCCTTCCCCCAACTTTAAGTAGGTTTTCCGGTTAGGATTTTTAATCGCGCACGCACACGAGGATCAAAAAAAAAAAAAAAAAATTTTTTTATTTTTGGCTGAAAGGAATAGAAAACCTCAAAGTGGTTTCATAATAAGCTACGTGGCACATATTTTAGTTTGAGAGAGAGAGAGAGAAAAAAATCCGCGCGCGGCGGTCCACGGAAGAAAGGGAAGCTGTTTAGCAAGAAAGAAGAAAAATTTTTTGGCAACCGTATATGAATTACTGAAGAAATCAATACTGGCGTTAATCCAATTGTTTCCATCGTATTAAAAAAAAAAAAGAAAAAAAAATTTTTTTTTGGGTCCCCCCGCCCCTCACCGGCTCCCGCTCCGCCCCTTCCATTTCGTTCTCTCCCCCCTCAATTATCTCCTCGACTCGAGTTTTGTTTGTTTATGTTAGAGAGTAGTAATTGGGAAATTAGTTGAATGAAAATTTTTTTTTTCTACTACCTCATACCTCTTTGTCTCTTGTCCCCTATTTACCTCCCACCACTATTTTTACCCCTCCTATTTTTCCCCTACTTCTTTATGTTTAACTTATACCCGAATTATTTTTTCTCTCGTTCCCACTCTAAAATTATTATAATTTTTTTTTACACATCCCACTCTTTTTCCCCTCCTTCTCATCTTCGTTCTCATTTTCCTTCTCCTATTTTCTCATATTTTTCTCATTCTACATTTCCTTCACTTTTTTCTCCTCCTACTCGAACTGTTCCCCTTTTTCTACCCTTTCCATACTTCTTCCTCATCCTCTTTTTCCTCATCTTCCATCTCCTTAAGTTTTTTTTCCTCCTTCTCGATTTTTCCTCTTTTTTTCCCCTTTCTCCATCTCTTTTTCCCGCACTTCTTTCTCATCCCTTTTTTCTTCCTCTTTCTCATTTTCCATCTCCTTCATTTTTTTTTTCTTCCCTCATACTCATCCATCTTCTCTTAATTCTCCTTCTCCCGTTTCCTTCTTTCTTTTTCCTCCTCAATCTCATTATTCTCCTTGTTCTCTTTCCCTCATTTTTAACCTCCTTCTTTTTCTAATTTTCATTCTCCACCTCCTTCGTTTTTCATTTTTTCTCTTCCTACGTTTCTTTCTCCTTCTCCTCTTTCTTTTCTTTCTTCTTTTCCTTATTCTCTTTCTCTTTTTCCTCATCCTTCGTTTTTTTCTTCTTCTCCTTCTTCTTATCCTCCTTTTTGTCTTCCTACGTTTCCTTCTCTTTTTCTTTATTCTCTTTCTTCTCTTTCTTCATCCTCTTCTATTTCTCTTTTTTCTCATTCTACGTTTTCTTTTCTTTCTTTTTCTCATTTCCCTTTTCTTCATCCTTCTTTTCGTCACCCTCTTTCTTCTTTTTTCCCTTTTTCTCATTCTTTTTCTTCTCATTCCCTCCGCGCGTTTTCGTTATTCAAACATAAATATTACGTAATCATTTGATTAAACTTTGTTTTTATTTTTCTATTGACACGTCATTGAAAACCATAAAAAATTTTAATTAACTTTATCATTTCTACGAAAAAAAGGGAGGAAGGGGAGGGGGAAACATTTTTGTTATTTACTAAATCCCCTTTTTTTCCTTCCTTTTTTCTATTTCAAATCTTTTATACGTCTGTACACTTGAGTATGTGTGCGCACGAGCGCGTTATCAACAAGGAAAACCTTTTCTTATCAACGTTTAATTTCTATCAACCTTCTTAAAAACAAATTTATTTAAAATAATAATAATTATAATAATAATAATAATAATAATAATAATAATAATAATCGTAAAGTCATATGAAAACATTGACTATAAGTTCATTCATTTAATTATAATCGTCTTATTTAAAATTATTTCGTTTGAATCTTTTGCAAAAACTTATTTGGCAGGAACAACAGAAGAAAGAAAATAAGGAATGCGAGGAGAAGAAGAGGGGTAGTGAGGGGGTAGCCGTAGTAGGGGGAGGGGAAATTGCAAAAACGAACGGATTCCGAATCGTTATTAGCAGTAGAACTTTTTTTTTTTTTTTTTTTTATTCGACTCTGTCTTTACGCATCATTTCGAAACATTAAACAGTGCCGCCGCGGATTTCTGTATAGATTTTATTATTATCATCATCATTATTATCATTATCATTATTATTATTATTATTTTAAACCTTTTACCAGATTAAATATAAAATAATTTTTAAGCTTCATTAAAATTGATTTCCTGAAGGATCTGTATTCAATTTCAATTTTTCCCTTTCGTTCCCGTTTTTCTCTTCCTTTTCCCCCCACCTTTCCTCCCTCCCTCCGTCATCTTCCCTCCGCTCACTTCCTTCCTGTATTTATCTTCTTCCACGTTTCGTACGTTCGTTCGTTCGTTCGTTCGTTCGCTTTCACTTTATTATTTTATTTTTCATTTTTTTTTTTTTTCATTTCACCCTTTCCTCTTTCTCTCTCTCTCTCTTTTTCTCACTCTCCCCTGTCACCAAATTGTTTTCTTTTTCTCTCTCTCTCTCTCTCTCAGACTGTCAAACTTCTTTTATTGTTCAATTTAGTAATTCTAATAATAAAAAAGAAAAAAAAAAAACTTTCCAGCGTGTAATATTTTTTTATTTTTCTCCAGTTTTTCCTTTTATTTAATCACATCGCTTCCGTTTTCTTTCTTTCCTCTCTCTCTCTCTTTCTCTTTCTCCTTACGTTAAAATCTGCCAAAATTTTTCTTTACACACTTTTCCTTTTCTCTCTCTCTCACACACAAAAGTATCGACTTATTAAGCCAACAAAAAAAAATTTTTTTTTTGATTTTTTTCAATCTCCTTTTTTTTTCTTTTCATATCCTTTATTATTATTATTATTATTATTATTATTATTATTATTATTATTATTATTATTATTATTATTATTATTATTATTATTATTATTATTATTATTATTATTATTATCATTATTATCGTTTCATTCGAATCGTGAGGTTGAAACTCGTCCAAATACATTACTTTCCTTTTTCTTTTGATTCTTTTTCCAATCAACTTTTACTCGACTCCTTTGCTCCCTCCCCCTTCCCCACCAACGAATTTCATTTTTATTTCCTAATTTTTACTTTACAATAAAGATTCATTAACAATAAAAAAAAAAAAATTAAATTTTACACGTACGACGACGATGAGAGAGAGAGAGAAAGAAAATGTTATTCTTCAACTTCCGGTTCCGGTATGTCATGATAATAATAATTTTTTATTTCATTCTCATACTTTTTTATATTTTTTTTCTCCCTCCCCCGGTTTATTTATTTATTTATTTATTTTTTTATACAAAACGTAATAAAAATTAACTCTTATTCATAACAGCAACAGACAACAAACAACAAACAACTAACGGCAACAAACAGCAACAGGAAAAATAAAAATAAAAAAAAAAAAAAAAATTAATTTAAACGCGACGAACAATTTTTTTTTTTAAAAATGTTCGCATGAAAAAATTTTTTTGAAATATTTTAAAACTCCCGCCATTTTTTCCCTTCCCTCTCTCCCCACCACTCCCCCATCAACTTCCGCTTTCTTATTATTTCCTTTTTAATCGCACGATAATAATTTCTCATATATATAAAATTAAATTCACTCGATCTCTCACACAAAAAAAAAAAAGAAAAATTAATTATAAACAAACAAACGAACGGAAAATTTTTTTTTTTTTTATCTTCGATAGGAATTTAAAAAAAAGGAAAAAAAGGAAAAAATTCAAAGGAAAAAAAGGAGAAAGTAAACAAAGGAAAAAACCTACGAGAAATTCAAGTCGTTAAATCGATCACGATAATAATAATAATAGTTAAAATGAAAAACAAACATTTAGTAAAAAAAAAAAAAAAAAAATCAATAAATAAAATAATAAAAAAAAATTTTTCAAACGTGTCATTAGTTTTCTAATTACACGTCGTTAAATATACTCTCGATTTTTTTTTTTTTTGATAACTCTTATCATTTCGATGAAATCAATTTAAATATTAAAAAATATATATATATAAATTTAATAATGTTGAAAGGTTAAACGCGATCGTAAAAAAAAAAAAGGAAAAAGGGGATGGGAAGGGAGAGAGAGAGAGAGAGGGAGGAGGGGGAGGGGGAAATCTCCAGAGTCCTGGAACGAACCCGAACGATTGGATTAATTCTAAAAATTTTAAACGTTCAACGAACGTTTTATCATTTTTGAATTTTTTAAGTAAACACGAATATTGGATAAAAAAAAAAAAACTTGACCGTTAGTTACATATACACAAGCCACCCACCGGAAGAAGATGCTTTAAATATTATTATTAAATCATTTCTGATTACACGTCGTTTTGTTTTGATTTTTTTTTTTTTTTAATCGAAAACGTTTTTAAAAATTTATTTAAATGATTTTTAACCCCCCCCTTTTTTTTTGTTAATTTATGAGAAATGTATTTTGTACTTACCTTTTTACTCGGTAGCAAAGAGACTGAAGGGGGGGGCTCGGTAGAAGCCACTACCCTACTAAAACTCCTGGACGTGTTTCAACGTGTTTTTATTCCTGGAGGGGGGCGCTTGCAGGTTCAACTCTCTTCTGAGCCAGAACCGTCCGATCCACACTCCCGACGGTTCAAATCCCACTTAAAGAAGATCCCGGTACTTCCCCTTTTCTCCCTTCGAGAGACAGCTTCGAGCTCCCACCATCGTTTCTGCTTCTTCCGCTCAGTTTGCGAGATGTCCGGTGTCGTGAATCCCGTAGATCGTTCATTTATTTTCCTTCCACGTCGCAGCTCCGCATTTTACCCTACTTGGGTCAAATACTCAGTTTTACCCCCTCGGTCAAGGGTCGGTGCATCCACAATGCCTCGAAAGGGTACTAGGTCACTTTGTAGGTACAGGTCTGTTCTTGTTTGAGCGAGCTGAAATTGAATTCCCACTCCCAGGTTTTCAACTCGGTGAGATTTTTGGTCCGATTTTTCTCCTTTCCAGACTCAACCTGGCTACCTCAGGCTCCCCAAAGGTATCCAAGCTGTAGCTTAACCCCTAGCGGATACCTAGTCAACGTGCAAAATCCAATCCCAGAATCCCCGCCCTAAAAACATCCTCTATACCCAGCCTTTAAGTAGTTGGATTACAGGAGTACACCACCACTCCCGGCTAAATGACCTTTAACCTCCGCAATAATAATAATGAATTTAATTCGCTGGAAAAAAAAAACCGGAAATGAATAAAAAAAAAAAATTACTAAGAATGAATTTTTTTTTTTTTCGGGTAAATTTTTATGTTTTTTTTTACAAAGGGAAGGAAAAGGAGGAAGAAGGCGAAAAGGAATGAAAGGGAGAAAAGGGGAGAAGGGGGGGGAGAGTCCGTTATTAATAAAAAAATTTGATTTTCCTGGATAATATAAAAAAAAAAAAAATTTGCGTCCTGGAACAATAAAAAAAAAAATGGTGTTAATAAATAAATAATAAACATTCGAGTTTATTTAAATAAAAAAAAAAAAAAAAATTGTCGTTTGTTTGTTTGTTTGTTCGTTTGTCTGTAATGTTTGTTTTGTTTATAATCTTTTGTATATTTCAGATAATAAATATCAAAAAAAATATCCCGTCATTGTTTACATTCATGGAGAATCATTTGAATGGAATTCGGGAAATCCTTACGATGGTTCCGTTTTGTCCAGTTATGGAAACGTTGTCGTTGTTACAATTAATTTTCGTTTGGGAATTTTAGGTAAGTCTCGCACTCAACCTCCTTCCCTTCCTCTCCCTCCTCTCTTTTTGCTCTAGCGCCACGTAAAAAAATTCGAATAAAAATCACGAATCGGAAAAAAAATTTCTCGGAAAAAAAAAAAAAATTCGATTCACTGAATTCATTTTTTTTTTCTTATTAAATTTGGCAACGTTGTAAAATTAAAATTAAATTACGACGAAAACAAAATTTTTAAATTTCCCGCCATTTTTTTTTTCAACTATTATTATTTATCAAAGGGATAAAAAAAAAAAAAAACGATGACGAGACGAAGAAAATTTTTCAAACTTTTTTTGACTGCTTCCACGATCTTTTTTTTAAAAATAATTTCATCGAGTGAGTTGTCAAAACGAACAAACGAACAAACGAGAGTTCCGCGCACGTGCACGCCCGAACATTTTTTTTTTTTTATTTCTCCAGCAGTAGATTTTTCTTTTTTTTTCCAGTAGATAAAACAAGTGAAAATTATCTTTTTTTTTTTCTTTTTTGCATTCTCCATTTTTTTTTTTAATATTTAAAACAAATTTTTCTTTTATTATTATTATTATTATTATTTAAAATAAAAAAAAAAATGGGTCGACTTGGGAAAACAACTTTAAAACGTTCGAATTAAATTCAATTTTTTTTTTTTCTTTCTGGAGAAAATCATAAAACGTCACGAAATGAAAAAAAAAAAAAAAAAAAATTTACTCATCCTCCTCCTCCTCCTCCTCCATTTTGTTTTTTCCTGTTTTCTCCAGCGTGCGTGTGTGCGTGAATGTGCGTGCGTGCGTGCGCGCGAATACGTGCAGGGATGCTAGAAAAATAAAAAAATAAAAATTTATACGTATTTTTAAATTAAATGAAAAAAAACCTTTTTCAAACTCAAAACCTTTTACGTAATAAACCTTTTTTAATTATTATTATTATTAACATTAAAATTATTACGCCTGAATTGGAGGGAAAGGGCTGGGGGAGTAGGAAGGTAGGGGAGGAGGGGGTGGTGGTGAAAAGGGCAAAAATTACACCCGATGAGGAAAAAAAAAAAAAAAACGGGAGCGATATAAATTTTACATGGAGCGTTTGCTTGTTTGTTCGTTTGTTTATTTGTTTACCTCGCTGTGTCTACGTCATCGTTCGGTTATTCGTCTTGTTGCCCTCGCGTTTTAAACGGACACAACAGGAGAGGAATTCGTGACGGATAACCGTAAGAATTTTTTTTTTTTTTGGATTTAATCCAGTTTAAATAAAAAATTATTTCTTTCATTTTGAATTCTTCTCCGCCCCCGCACGCACGCATCCTCGCCCACCCCACCCACGCACTCACGCCCCCCACCCCACTCCCCCCATCCACCCAAGTTACGTTAAAAAAAAAATATTTTCGTAAAAATTCAAAAAATTATTTATTCGTATCGATATTAAATAGCAGAAGATAAAAATAAGAAGATTCAAGAGGGTGCAAACAAACAAATAAACAAACAAGACGACAAACAAACAAACGAGAGTGAATAAAAAAAAAGTAAAATATGTATATAAATTATATTATATATATATATGATTAATAGTTTAAAGTGATCGAGGATGAAAGATGAACATCAACATACCATATTTTGATCCTTTTTTCACGATATACAGCATCCAATCAATGTTTATCAACCATCATCTTCTTCTTCTTCTTCTTCTTCCTCCCCCTCCTCCTTTTTTTTTGTTCATAACTTGTTGATCTGTGATACATAATCAATCAACCTGACGTATTCAACATCTTATCACTCTGATATATCACTATTCATCATTTTTTTATTTTTTTGTTTCCTTATAAAATTTTCATAGATTTTATTTAAACATTCCTTCGTCTGTCTCTCTCTCTCTTTCTCCTTCTCTTTCTTTTCCTTTTTTCCATTGGAAAAATAAAAATGTCATTTGTGGTCGCGATTTTTATTTCTTCCTTTCTCCCTCTCTCTTTCTCGTTCTCATCTTCTCTATTTATTTCTATCATTCATTTTCTCCCTCTTTTTCTATTTCTTATTTTTCTATCTCTCTCTTTCTAACTTTCATTTTTTGTTTATGGTTTTTTCATTCATTTCCTCTCTCTTTTTTTTATTCTTTACCTTTTTCTCTATCTCTTCCATTTTTTTTTATTCTTTCGCTCTTCTTCATTCTCTCTTGTTCCCATCTTTTCTCTTTATCTCTCATATCCTTTTACTTCTTTTTCTATTTGTTTACTTTTCTATCTCTCTTTCTCTCTTTTTAACGCTCTTTTTTTGTTTATCGTTTTCTCATCCATTCCGTCTCTTTATTCTTTTTATTCTATCACACTCTCCCTCTCTCTCTGTCTCCCTTCCTCTTCTTTTTTGTTCTTTCTTTCTCTCTCTGTCTTTTTATTATTCATTCTTTTTCTCTCTCGATTCTTCCCACTTTCTCTTATTTTTTTTCTTGATTTCTTTTTAATTCTTTTTTTTTCTTCCTTGTTCTCTTCTTTTTTCTTTATCTCTCTCCATTTTTTTCTCTCTTTTTCTCTCTATCGCTTTCTTATACTCTCTCTCTCTCTCTCTCTCTTTTGTCTTCATTTTTTCTCACTCTTCTTCCTCTCTTTTTTACCTTTCCCTCTCTGATTCTCTTTCTCTCCTTCTCTTCCTTTTTACCTTTCTCACTCTCATTCTCTCTCTCTCTCTCTCTTTCCTACTTTCTCTTCCTCTTTCATCCTCATTACTCTTTTTCTCCATCTTTTTTTTCTCCCCCCCAAAAAAAAAAAACGCAAAAGTTTTATATTTATTCCTTCGAAACACACACCATTTTTTTTTTATTGTTTTTTTTTTTTTTATTTCTCTTTTTCATTCTTTCTCTCTCTCTTTTCAGGTTTTCTAAAACCCGGTTTAAACGAACACACGGTTAGCAATTTCGGACTTTTGGATCAGATAGCAGGTTTGCAATGGATAAAAGACAACATCGGAGAATTCGGAGGAGATTCGTCAATGGTCACACTCATGGGTCACGGAACCGGAGCTGCTTGCATTAATTTTTTAATGGTTTCACCTGTTTCGATGGCATCCGAAGGTAAATTTTTATTGAATCGCCATGTTGTGACGTCACGATGACGTCACGTTTAAAAGCCCCAAAGGGGGAAGGAGAGAGAGAGAGAGATCGAATAACAAAACAATTCACTCTTAAACGTTCCCCAACTTATTTTTATTAAATTTTTCTTTTGTTTTATCGAGACAAGCAGAAGACAAAAATTACTAACAAACAAACAAACAAACAAACAGACGTCATAAAATTATATTTAAAAAAAAAAAAAAAAATTAAAACGCGTCTGTGAATAATAAAAATAAAAATTTTTTTCTCCACGTTTTTTCCTTTTATTTCTTCCCCGCCCCTCCCCCCGTTTTTTTTTCCAACTTTTCGTTCAGGTAAAATGTTCAGACGTTACGGAAAACAAGTTGAAGGGTTAAAGGTTAAAAAAAAGACAAATTCGTATTTAAAAAAGTCGTGGAAATAAATAATAAGATTGTTTTACAAAAAAAAAAGCGAAGACGTGATGATAAAATAAAAACAAATTTTTTTTTCTTTTTCTCCTCCTGGAAAATTTTGAGAGTAAAAAAAAAAAAAAAAATCTCCAGAAAACAAATTTCAAACGTGGAAAATCCCCCCCATATAATTCTTCCATGTTTTATTCCATAATCCCCTCCTTCCCCCCCCCCCCGTTTTTTTTTATCTTTTACTAAGAAACTTAAAAAAAAAAAAATTTTTTCTCTTCTTTTTCTTCCACTTTATCTTCTTCTTCTTCTTTTTTTTTTTGACTACAACGACTACGACTAAAAGTTAATTTTTTAAACTTTTAAATTTTCCTCCGAGAAAACTAAAAAAAAAAAAAAAAACGGGGAGATGGGGGGGGGTAATAAAACGACACAAATTTTTTTGTAATTTAATAAAAAAAAAAATTTTTCTTGTTGTTATCGTCGTCGTCGTCGTCATCGTCCTCGCTTTTCCTTTTGTTTTTAAATTTACTCACGTAATGAAAATAATAATAATAATAATAATAATAATAATAATAATGATTTCTTTGTTTTTTAATTTCAAAAAAAAAAAAAAAAAAAATATTATTGACAATTGAAATTCGCAAAAGGTTTTTTTTTGAAAATTCTTTAAAAAAAAATCCTTTTTTGTTTTATTCATATTTTTAATATTTAACAATCTCTCCCTCCCTCTCTCTCTCTTTTCTCTTTCTCTCCATTTTCCCTCTCTTTCTTCTCTTTCTTTCCCTTTTTTCTCTCTGTCCGTCTCTCGCTCTCCTTTCTTTTTTCTCTCTCTCTCCCCTCTCTTTCCTTTTCCTTCCCTCTGTCTCTTTTTATTTCTTCTCGTTCTTTCCCTATTCCTTCCCTTTCTCTTTACTCTCCTCCCCCACTCTGTCTCTCTTCACATTTTCTGCCTCTTCCCTCTTCCCCCCCTCTCTCTCTTTCTCTTAAAAAAAAAAATTCTTTTCTTTCTTTTCTTTACATTTTTCTTTTATTGTTCAAAAAAATAAAAAAAGAAAATAATAATAATAATAAATTTCCAGGTGCTTTAGAAAACAATCGATGCGAATTTCATTCCCCATTTTCCCATCCCCCCTCCCTCCCTACTTCCCTCCTTCCTTTCTCATTATTATTATTATTATTAAGAGGGTTTTATTTATGTTTAATCGATTTTCATATCGATCAAAAATTTATCGAATTTTAAAAAAAAAATTTTTTTTCTTTTTTTTTGTTACAAATTCGGTCAATAGAAATAATAATAATAATAATAATAATATTATTATTTTATTATTATTATTATTATTATTATTTTTTTTTTTTTTATTTTTTTTTTTAAATGATTTTTCGTTTTTAGAATTTTTTTAGAAAAATTAAATAAAAAAAAAAAACTTTGGTTTCAAACCTTGTTAATACCATTATTAAAATTTTTTAAAGTTTGAAAGAGAGGGAGGGAGAGAGAGAGAGAGAAGGAGGAGAGGAGGGGAGGGGTGAAGGGTGGGTTTGATATAAAAGACACAAAACAAGAGATTATAATGTTTCGTCCTTTAAATTTTTTCTTTTTTTTTTTTTTTTCGAGTTTGCGATTCAAACGTGAAAGAGAGAGAGAGAGAGAGAGAGAGAGAGAGTGAGGGGGGAGAGGGGGAAATAGAAAATTCATATCCGATGGATTATATAATGTTAAATATGTTTAATACGCGCACACACGCATGTATGTAAAAGTCAGAGAGTCGTTAATTGACCTTTTAATCCTTTAATTTGTTTTTTCCAGGTTCGTTAAATTTGATCCCGGTTATTGTTGACGTTTCATTTGGAAAAAAAAAAACCGTTACGCGAATTTGTCACGCATCTCTCTCTCTCTCTCTCTCTCTCTTTCTCTCTCTACAGGTCTCTTTTCTTCTTTTTTTCTCTCTCATTTTCTTGTCTACCATTTTTCTCTGTCGTTTTCTTTTTTACTTATCTCTCTCTCTCTCTCTGTATTTCTCTTACACGTTCTTTTCTTTCCTCTTTCTCTCTCTCTCTCTCTCATTTATTTTTTTCTCTTTACCTCTTTCATTCTCTTCTTTCCTTTCACTCGCACATTCTTATTTCTTTTTCCCTCTCTCTCTCGCTTTATCACTTTTTATTATGTTAAATTTTTGCCATTAATCAAACGATAATTCCTACAAAAAAAAAATTCTCACTTTTACAATAATTATTATTATTATTATTATTTTAAATAAATCACTTTAAAACTTTGAATCGATAATGATAATAATAATAATAACACGTGATAAACGATTAATAAAAGATCGTATAAAAAATAGAATATAGAAAGAGATAAAATAAATTCATTTAAGTAATCAAACGAAATTTTTTATCATGAGTAAAAGGGGCATTCAAAAAAAAAAGAAAATGGTGGAGGGAGAGGGGGATAAATTAAATGAAGGCGTTTTATGTAAAAAAAAAAAAAAAGAAAAGAAAATGAATTGAATCACGATAGGATTTTAATTACGCTGTCGATGACAATAATAATAATAATAAAATTAACAAAATTAACAAAAAAAAAAAATTGTTTAAAATTTAATCGTCGGCGGATGGACGTTTGCCAGTATTATTATTATTATTATTATTATTACTATTTAGCCAACATTAAATTTTTGCCAAATTGATACATCATCTTGTTTCCTTTTTCTTTCTCTCTCTCTCTCACTCTCTCTCTTTCCACATTTTCCTTTAATCGAATCTCGATTTTATTTACCAAAAAAAAAAAATGTCGTCGTAACCGTCGATATGCAGGCAGGCAGGCAACGATTGAAAAAAAAAAAAAAAAAAAAAAAAAGATGTTGGCAATCATTAAAATCTAAAAGAGCAATTGCTTTTAAAACCTTCCCGTTAGAAAATTTTACCGAACGCCCGTAAATTTTTACGGTCCAAATATTTTCAATCGTTTTTCAAAGAATCAAAGCAATATGGCGGCGGCGGTGGCAGTGGCGGCAGGAGCTCACCTTCTTCCCTTTTTATCAACCACCCTCTTTTCCACGTGTACCCTTTTCCTTTCTCTCTCTCTATTCATCCTTTCTTTCCTAACAAATTGTACGAAATTTTCTCTCTTTCTCTCTCTCTCTCTCAAAAAACGACGACTTTTCCCCGGGGTTTTAATATTATTTATTAGAATATATAAATTTTTCTGTTAAATCGAATCAACGCCGTATTATTATTATTATTATTATTATCGTTTTTTTCCAGGTTTGTTTCACAAAGCCATACTCATGTCGGGTACGGCACTCTCGGATTGGGCACTAACACAAAATCCTCTACAATTTACCATACAAGTTGCGGAATCTTTAAACTGTCCTCTCGTCGACGAAAATGATGAACTGTCCAATTGTCTGAGACGTAAAAGACTTTCTGATATAATGTCCGTCAAAGTCGACGTACCTGAATTTCAAACCCCTTTTGGACCCATCGTCGATGGAAGCGTCGTACCAAACACTCCACAACAAGTTATGGGAGTTTATCAAAATTTATTCACGAGGTAAAAAAAAAAAAAAATCGATTTCCCACAAACCCCCCCCCCCAACTTCATCCTTAATAATTTTCTCATCCTTTTTTTTTTTTTTAAAAAATATGAAAGTTGAATTAGGAAGAAGAAAGAAAAGAGAACAAAACAGAAAAACAAACAAAACGGAAAAATTCCCAAGACGACAAACCTTTTAAAAAAAAAAAAAAACTAAAAAAATCTTCTTAGTCGTCTTAGCGGTTTTATAAAATCGGTTACAAAAAAAAAAGAGAAAAGAAAAAGAGTTTCAAAAAAGGAAAAACAAAACGAAATCCCCCCTTCCTAAAAGGAAAAAAAATAATTAAAACCCCTCAAGAATTAATAAAAAAAAAAAAAAATTATACACAAAAGAATATCGATGCTCTTTGATGACGTCATCGAGTTATAAATTTTCCATAGAGTAAAAAAAAAAAAAAATGGCTTCGAAACGTAAAGCAAAACGAAAAAATAATCGCGAGAAACTCCTTCGAAAATGACGAAAAATTTAAATTTTTACGCTATAAAATACCTTATGATTTTTTTTTGTTTTCCCGCGATAAAACGCCTTTATTTCACGATATAAAACGCCTTATTGTTTTCTTTTATTTCACGCTTTAAAACGCGCTCATTTTCGATTTCACTCTATAAAACGCCTTGTTTTTGTTTTCACGCGATAAAACGCGTTTTTTTCACGATATAAAATGCCTCATTGTTTTCGCCTTCATGCTTTAAAACGCCTTATTTTTGTCTCCACGCTATAAAATGCCTTATTTTTGTTTTCATGCGATAAAACGCGTTTTTTTACGATGTTAAATGCCTTGTTTTCGCTTTCACGCTTTAAAACGCGCTCATTATCGATTTCACGCTATAAAACGCCTTAATATTTTTTTGAAAAACTTTTCCCTTACAGGTACGACATGTTGTACGGAATGACAGAGTGGGAAACGTATCATTCATTGGATCCGGTTAGTTTAACTTACGGCATGTTAGAGGGAGAAAGAAACGAACATTTGAGAAAATTTATGTACGCGAGATACGAAGCACTTCCATACTTTGCACTCGCAACGACGTTGAGCGAATATTTGGTGAGTGATAATAAGAACGACCCGCCCCCCACTTTTATTTTTAAAGAAAATTTCTTTCGCACATCCCCTAAATTTTTCTTTTCGTTAAGGACTGGAGAAAACCCGTACCTTCCATAAAATCAGCAGCGGAAGAACATCGAGATTTAGTTTTGGATTTGTTAAGCGACGTAAGATATTCGGCACCGGTTATACAAATGGCGGGTTATCATTCCAAAATAAATCCAAAATCTTATCTATACGTATTTAAACACAAGAGTAAAATGGGAGAATTTGCCGGAGTAAGATTAATTATTTGTTAAAAACCTTTTTACTAAAAATTATTATTATTATTATTATTACTACTAAAAAACTCCCAATTAACTAAACTTTAAATCGTGTTTAAAATATTAATATTAATAATAATAATAATTAAAAATCAAAGAGATTTAAAACTTTTTTTTGTTTTGTTTTTTAACGCAATTAATCTCATTAAAACCATTTAAAAACCGTAAACAAAGTTCATTGACCTCAATTTAAATCTCCCTAACCCGACCGAAAAGTAAATAAACAAACTCCGCCATATTGTTTTTCACAAACCGACCTATTGACCGACAGACCGTTACGGATTCGACCGGGAAATACGTTGAAACGCACGCGGGAAAAATTAAATTCGGTATGAAATTAATTCGACCAATCAAAAACGAGAACGTAAACAATGACGTCATTTCAAAACAAAAAAAATCCAATTAAAAAATTTTTAAAAAAATTCATTCATTCATAAATTACGTATCGTTGACATTTTTTTCTTTTTTTTTCCGTTTTGACGGCGGGAAAGATAGAAGAAGAAAGTTTTGGCGGAAAATTTGAAAAAGTTTTAAAAAACTTTTAATAAATAAATAAATAATTAAATAAAAGTTTTTCCTTTTTTTTAAACTGGCAAAACAAAAAAAGAAATTAAATCGAGATTTTTAAAAAAAAAAAAATAAAAAGATAATATTTTCCTTTGGGAAGTTAACGAATCAAAAGCGGAAGTAACGCACGTACACACACACGCACGCACGCACTCTTGCGGTTTGCGGCCGAAAAATCTACGTATAAGTTAAAATAATGATGATAATTTTCCTTCGGATATCGTATATATAATGAATGAACTTTATATCGGGAATTATCATCATTATTATCATTATTATTATTATTATTATTACTTTTTGAAAAATTTCTACGGAAATTTTACGATTAACAGATGATGATGATGATGATGATGAAGGTGAGTTCATGAGGGAAAAAGAAAAAAAAATGAGAGGGAGGTTAGTTAAATTAATCAAAAGAAAATTAAAAACTCGCTCGTACAAATTTAAACTCTTTTCCTTTTACTCCCCCTCCCCAACCCCCCACCCAAAAAAGAGAGAGAGAGAGAGAGAGGGAAACTAAAAGATGGAGATAATTTTTTTTTTTGGTAGCAATTAAGGGGGTGTTGGGTCAAATTAAAAAAAGGAAAAAAAAAAAAGGAAAAGGAAAAAAAAGGGCCAGTAAAAAAAAAAATTTAACTCACGCTATTCATTTTTTCCTTTTAAAATAAAAGAAAAGGAAAAAATGAAGAAAAAAAAGGGATTAAAAGGAAGGAAAAAAAAGGAGGAAAAAAAAGGAAAAAAATTTACTCCGCTTATTGCCACAGTTTAAAAAGTTTTCATTTAACAAAAAAAAAAAAAAAAATTTTTTTTTTTTTTCAAATTTATCAAAAAACCTCCGGACTGGAAATTTTCTCTCTCTTATTTTCATTTTCACTTTCTCTCTTTCTGCCCTTTCTTTCTGTCTTTTCTCTATCTCTCTCTTTTTTTTTCTCTACTTTTTTCCTGTCTTTTCGCTCTCTCTCTCTTTCGTTTCCACTTTCATTCTCATTCTCTCCCTTTATCTCTCGTCTTCTTCTTTATTCTCTCTTTTTCTCTCGTTTCCTTCTTTATTTCCCTTTCTATCTCTCTCATTTTTTTTTCCTTTTCATTCTCTATCTCTCGTTTCCACTTTCATCTCATTCTCTTTCTCTCTCTCTCCCCTTTCTACTTTCATTCTCTTTTCCTTTCTCTCTCTCTCTCCCTCTTTCCTTCATTTTCCGCTCTCACGTTTTCATTTTTTAATCATTTTCATTTTGGAAAATAATAATAATAATAATAATAATAATAATAATAATAATAATAATAATAACATCACAATTAATTAAGTTATAATAATAATAATAATTAATTAGAAAAATTTTCTTTTTTTCATTCATTCATTTTTTCCTTTCGCAATTAAAAATAAAAGTAATAATCAAACAATCAATCAATCAATCAATTAATCGATAATAATAATAATGTTATTAATAATAAAAAAGAAAAAAAAATTTTTTAATGTTTACGTGTTGTTGTTGTTGTTAATGACGACGTGTTATGGGGGGGGGGGCGTTTAATTTATTGTACGACTTCCCCTCTCTCCCTACCTCCTTCTCTCACTTTCTTTCTTTCTCTCTCCCTCTCCTCACCGAACTTCCTATCTCCGATATACCATTGTGACACTATTATCATTTTTTATTTCTTTCCTATCGGTTTTGATTATGATAATGATGATGATAATAATATTACACTCAATATATATTAAAACGTAGAATAAATTTATTCCTTAATTTACATGTAAAGATCTACTACCATCATCATCATTATCCGAAGACAAATTACTGATAAAATTTTACAAATGACAAAACGTCAAAATGTGATTGACGTCATAATAATAATAATAATAATAATAATAATGATAATATTTTCTCTTTTTTTTCCTCGTACGCGCGAATAATAAATAAATAAATAAATTTTTTTTTTTGCCCCTTAAAAGAAAAAAAAAAAAAAACTTTTCAAAGCTACAGGTGTTTAAAAAAAAACGTGGAGGTAGAAAGAAGGTAAAGAGAAAGAAGAAGTGGTCGTGGGAGTGATGGTGAGCGATAAATGGGAGAGATAAAGGGGGAAAAATTTTTCGTTAGCGACACGATTTAAGGGAACGAAGTAAGAGGAGTATGGGAGGGGGAGTATAGGGGAGAAGGGAAAAAGGTTTTTTTTCCCTCTTTCTTTTCATTAAATTTTTTCCTGGAGAAAACTGTAGAAAAAAAATTTTTTTTTTTTTTTAATGCTGGAAAAAAACTGGAAAAAAAGAAAAAAATGAAAGGTCAATAGAATCATTCTCCCACCTCTCTCCCTCCTTTTATTTTTCTTTCTTTCTTTCTTTTTTTTTTATCGAACCTTTCCCCCCCCCCTTCCCCAATTTGTTGAATTTGATTGAGGTTCTTTTCGAAACGTTCGGATTATTTTTCCCACCGGGAAAAAGAGAAAATTTTCCTTCTTTTTTTTTCCTAATTACCACCCCATACGTAATCTAAACAACCTTTTTTTTTAACATGTATTATTATTATTATTAATAGGTCGAAAGGAGCGTTTCCGGTGAAGAAATTTCTTACGTTTTTGGTTGTCCTTTACTGAACGAAGAAGGATCGCTTTCTCATCATAAATTTACACTTACTGAACAATTACTATCGGAATCAATAATAACGTATTTTACCAATTTTGCTAAAACCGGGTAAGTTTTTTAAAAAAGGAAAAATACGCGCGAAAAAAGGGCGCGCAAAAATAATAATAATGATGATAAATTTTACAGTAATCCAAACGCACCGAGAAGATCCGAGTATTTAAATTTGGGACCCAAAGAGTGGCAACAATTTGACGTTTACTGGCCCGAATACGATAATAATAATCAAAATTATTTGGCATTGAGTAAGTACTTCCCCCTCCCTCTTGTTCCCCTTTCACCCCCCTCTTTTCGACGTACCTAATTTTTCTTTTTTCTTTCGCGACAGGCATTCCACCATTTGTCGGACGTCACTATCGAACACAAATGATGCAATATTGGAATAAAATCCTACCGGAATTATTAAGTAATCCGACAAAAGTAAAACAGCAAAAACCGGAAATACCATTTTATCAAAAAACGACGACGACGACGACGACATTTCCGTCAAACAATTTTAATAATAATAATGATGAAGTGAAAAAAACAAACGACGATAAATATTCTTGGAGTTACGACGCCATGAAAATATCACCCAACGAATATCAAAAAGATAACCGGAAGTCGATACCTTTTAAAAATCGAGATATTTACGAAGATGATTTCGTACAAACTCGAGATATCGAAACACCGGAAAATGATGACAAACGTACAAACGACGATAGAAGTCATTATGCTTGGGTGACGTCACTCGTCGGCGTGAGCGTTTGTTTACTAATAATCAACGCCGTTATAATATCCGTTTATTATTATAAACAAAAAAAAAGAAAGAATTCGAATACGAAAAAAGAAAAAAAAAAGAATCGCGTGACGCAAAATGGCGACGACGATGACCACGTCGATGACGACCGCAACGAATGTAAAATAAAATCGAATACATCTTTGGAAAATTTTTATCCGACTGATGGAGAATGTTCGACGAGTGTCATGGAACCCGATACGCGGGAAAACATTCCGAAAAAATTACGTAGAGTTTTATTAATTGATAACGCGGCGGAAAATGGATCAAAATTTAAAAAATGGTTGTTGCAAACGAATATATATAAGAAAAAATACGGAAACGACGACGACGACGGCGACAGCGCCGGAAACGCGGCGAAATTTAAAATTAAAACTCCGAATAAATTCAAATCCGTTAGGAAAAATCACCAACGACCGTCGTCACAGCCGCCACACCCGCCTAAAAAAGACAATTTCATATTAAAACCCATTTTGAAAAATTCAAAAATTGATTCATTTGATAAAAAGAAAATTGAAAAAATTTCCGTCGGCATAGATGCGACGCCATCGTCGAGACCAGAAAGCGTTTTAAAACAAATCCCGATAGAATTAACAAAATCCTTGGATAGAGGAATCACTTTTAACGCACGAACGAATCCGGAAGTCGTCGACGTCGACGCCGGTTACGACGTTGATGACGTCATAACCGACGCAGACAAACCCATTGTGAAATCTCAAACGAGTATAAGTTTACAGTTATTACCAACGTCGGATGGGAAATTCGAACCGGATATAATTAAACTCGAACCGAAAGTTCGTGAAAATTCCACGGTTAATAATTTAAAAACATTTTCCGCGAAAGAAAACGACGTCATAGTAAACGTCACGTCTCGCGATTCGCGTGATTACGATAATAATGATAAAAATTCGAATGGGAAACATTGCGTTGACCCGTTGGAAAACATACAGAGAAGAAATTTTCCAAAAGTTCTCCCCGATTTTCCAGAATTTATATCGAATAAAAGATTTTCATTTCCGCAACCTTCTACAAACGTTTTATATTTTAACGAATCGAATCGGAATAAATTACATTCGGTTCCAGAATCGTCGTTGTCGTCGTCGTCGACGTGTTCGCCAGCACCACCACCACCACCCCCACCGCCACCACCGAGAGTTTCGACCCTACGTAAAAAAGATAAACAACAACAACAATATGAAGAGAAAACGAAAGGAAACGAAACAAAACTTTCAACTTTTACAACAAAAGACGATAAATTGAAAGATTCGACGACAACGACGACGATGGCGTCGACATCGGATCAAAACGTCGTCGTCGTCGATAACAATAACGAAACCGAAACCCTCCATGATAAAAATGATAATAATAATAATTTTCCAGATGGAGAAAAATTAAAAACGACAGAATCGATTATCGATAAATCGAATTTTAATAAATTCGACAAATCGCTACCGACGAAAACGGTTAAAAATCCCGGTTTAAAACCCTCAATTATAATCCGTTCGAAAATAGGGCCCAAAAAAACGAGCCAACGAGAAAATAATAATAATGATAATAGTGGTGGTAGTAGTGGTAGCAGTAGTCAAACCGGAACGAAAAAAGCTCACGTAAATCTTCAATTGAACCAAGTGGAAAAGTCAAAAAATTTTCCGGTTTTGGATTCTAAAGGACCGTCGGATAAAGAGAGCCAGAAATAAAAAAAAATAAAAAAAAATGATAATGATAATGATGATGATGATAATAATAATAAACAAGAAAAGGAAAAAGAAAGAAATAAAAAAAAAAGTGATTTATTTTTTTTTTCGGAGGGGGAAGGGAGGGAAAGGAAGAGGAAAAAGAAAATAATAGAAAACCGGAAGTGCGGTTACGTCCAGGATACGTTGGCAACACAAGACAATAGAACCTGCCACATATGTAACTGATTTACAACTTTTCCGAAAAAAAAAAAAAAAAAAAAACTGGAAAATTCACAGGCACTTCATCATCGCGATACTTTTTTTTTATTCTCTATTATTTTCTTTCCTGTCCACCACCCCCTCCCCTCCCCTCCCCCATTCCCTCCCCACTCAATTCGAAGCAGACGATGCGAACAATTTTTTTTTAATTTTCCCTCTCGAACACCTTGTAAAAATCATTATTATTATTTCGCAGAGTATCGTTTTCATTACATAAATCATAATTTACAAAAAAAAAAAAAAAAAAAAAAAAAAAAAACAACAAACCAACAAACAAACAGACAAACAACAACAAAAACAATCGAAAAGGTAAAAAAAAAAAAAAAAGAAGTTCGAGATTATCGAAAACCGGAAACGGAAACGTACGAATAAGAAAATAAAAAATTAAAAATTAAAAAAAAAAAAAAAAAACAGAAAAAAAAGAAAAGAAAATTAAACGGAAAGAAAATTTCGTCTTAAATTCAATTTTCCTCTCTCTCTCTCTCTCTCTCTCTCTTATTCATTACTCTGACTTTTTCGATTCTATTTCCGGTATAATTCGGTTTCCGGTATTTTAAATTAATTTTATCTTACATATATATATATATATTTACATAAGTCAAACGAATCCTTATCCTTCCACCATTATTTTACCCTCTCTCTTTCTCTCTCTCTCTCTCTCGAAAGTCGCGAAAATCGGTACGGTAACAATAATAATAATAATAATGATAATGATAATAATAATACGAGCGATACATCGAACAGGTAAAAGAAAAAAAAAGTTAATTAATTTTTTTTTTTTTTTTAATTTACCTTTGATGGGCGGTAGCAACAACATGTTCTGATGAGGGGAAGAGATACGGGGGGACTGAGGGGTTGTGGGGGGAGGGGGGGTTCGAACGTAATCGATTTCAACTTACGTCAAAAAGTATAGGGAAGGTTGAGTGAATCTCTCTCTCTTTCTCCCTCTCTCACATTTTTCCCGTTCTATCTAACTCTCTCTCTCCGACGCTTGCGCTTTCTCCCTTACGAAACCCCCTCCTTCTCCCCCAACCCCCTCTCACCCTCTGTTGCTGCTGCTGCTCCTCGTTCGAATCGAAAACGTTTGCGTTTGTTTTGTTTGCATTTTTGTGAGTTCGTTCTCGTCTCACGTTTTCTTTTACGTCGTCGGTTTTTCTTCTTTTTTTTTTTTTTTCATCACGAACCTCTTTTCCCGTTTCCCGTTTATCAAAAAGGAAATTTTTACTTTTTATTGACTTCACGCGAAGATCCCACAGGATCTATATATATATATATATATATATATATATATATATATATATATCGACATCGTGCGCGTGACACAATTTAAAGATTTTAATCGACTTCTCTTTACATTACCGATAATTAAAATAATTAAAATAATTAAAATAATAATATATTTATATTAAATAAATAAATAAATAATTAATATAACGGACGAAATAATAATAATAATAATAATAATAATAATAATATGTACATGACGCGTAATACTTTTTAGAAAAAATAATAAATAAATAATAATAATAATAATAATAAAAATCAGATCGTTTTACAAAACGCGGCGGTGGTAACGTGACAATAATAATAATAATAATGATTTTTCCGCGGCGTAAAATTTAAAAAAAAAAAAAAAAATTAAAAACCGTTTGACGTTACGTCGTCGAGCTGCCATTTTTTTTTTTTTTTTTTTTTCCAGAGTAATGAAAACGTTTTTCATGAGAACAAATTCACTTTTTTTTTTTTTTTTTTAAAAGCTCCGATCGTAGAAAAAAAAAGAAAAGAAAAGAATACGAGAAGAAATGACGCGAAAAATAATAATAATAATAATAATAATAAATACTTTTTTTTTTCCCCATTTCCTCTTCGGCTTTTCGTTTCTTTTCCCATTCCTTTCTCCTCCTTCTCCTCCATCTTCTCCTTCATCGCGTTTTTTTATCGTCGTCAGTCACAGATTTAGATAATTTGTTACCGTTGATTTCAATGACGCAACAACGAGGAAACCAACCCTTTTGTTCAATTTGATCTCCACCCTCTTTGTTTATCATTTCGCCAAACAACCAATTCCTGTATTTTTAAAAAACAACGTTAAACATCCTTTTCTCCAGACAGATATAATAATAATGATAATAATTGATAACAAACTTTCTCCATCTGGTAACCAAAACGTTATCACCGACGTTTAATCGTAATCTATTTTCATCCGTGCACGGAATCGAAAATAAAACTTTGAATCCAAAAACAACCGGAAACCAACGTCCGGAATATTTTTTCACAACGGCATAAGGTTTCGCTCTTGATTTCTTCTCACTTTTTTGTTCGATTTGTTCTCTCGTGAGAGTGTATTGATCGCAATTTAAATTCGATGCGATCGACCAATAAATTCCATCACCGATCGGTGTCAAATCCCGATTGAAAACCTATCGGAAAAAGGTGAGGGGAAAGGGGAAAGGGGGAGGAGGGAAAAAATTAAAACTTTCGCAAAACGTAAATAAAAACAATCAAAACCTTTCACATTCTTATTCATTACCTGAAGTACGTTTTGAACGAGTCCCAAATTATATGGAAAAACAAAAGGTTCAATGGGTTCACCCTTTGCATGTGCCACCAACCTTCTATGAACGGCCTTATCAACTATCCAATCTTCAATTCCTGTTTGATTTCTCATAACGCTTCTCACCTTTAAAAAAATCATTATTATTATAAATTTAATTTTGATTGGAATAATAATAATAATAATAATAATAATAATAATAATAATAATAATAAACTCACTTGAAAGAAAAGTAATATGCCAACTCCTAAAACAACACCAATTGATAAACCTAATGAAAAAACACATGAAACTGTTCCGATTCCACTGAGTGTCACAAGAGGATCTGTACCCCTTCCAAAATGTAAATACCATCCCTTAAATTTCCACGTCTTAATATAAAAATTTTATAAGTGAGATGTGGTGAAAAGTGAGAGAGAGAGAGAGAGAGAGAGAAAAAAGACAGAGTGAGAGAAAGAGAGAGAAAAAATCAACTTACTCGATTGAGTGCTCTGTAAAGGGAACATGATAATATTACAGTACTTTGAATGCAGGCACAAAAAGCGAATAAAAGAAATAATATAAACTGAGCTTGATTTTTAAAACCAACACAAGTGTTTATCCATGGACAATGATGATCCATTTTTAAAACGCATCTCTGACCTGAAATATTCAATTTGAAAACAAACACAAAACAAACAACAGAAAAATTTTAAACTCGAGCGATAAAAAAAAAAAAACTTACATTTTTTACAATGATGAGATCTGGGTGCCTTGTAACCGAGGCAAACATTACAAAATTGTAAATATTTAGTATCACTGTTACCAGGTTTCCATTCTTTAGGTAGAAAACCAGGTCCGTTAAAAACTGTTGATAAAAAATTTGATATAACTAACACGCATAAAAAAAGAAATGTTGTCGCATTTAAAAGTCCACCTATTGAATGTTGTGGGGGCCACCACTGTGCATTACAATAAACTGTTGTCAACGACACTATTTTTATAATTACTGAAAATATATATAAAAAATAAAACAAATCATCATCATTATTATTATTGTCATGTCAATTCATCATGTGAATTCTTATATATTACATAAAACACACAAACACATTATTATTATCATTATTCTTTTAACATCATTTAAAATAAATAATGAATATAAAGAATGATGAAAAATTTAATAAAGTGTTGACAAGGTTAGGTTATGTTAGTAAAAACAACCAAATCCAAATCAAAAAAAAAAAAATTAAATAATTTTTACTAACAGAGAGTGATTATGGGTCCCCATCCGTATAATCTATCGAATGGAGTAACGCACATATTTTACTATTAATTTAATAAATCAAAAAAAAAAAAAAAAAGAAAAGAAAAATATTCACTGGCACATGTAATAAAGACATTATCTTCATTGCCTCTTCTTATTATTTGATTTACGACTTTGCAGTGCTGCCACATTTGATTTTCAAAAAAAAAAAAAAACAATAAACTATTTTTATTTTTTTTTAACGGTTTTCTTTTCTTTTTTTTTTTTTTTTCAAAAAATTTTAATCGCGTGCTCTTGATTGATGACCGCTAACAATTAAAATAATTTATTTTAACAAATATTTTTAAAAAATCCCGTTAAAACCACGTCGACGTCATTTTGACCGGAAAACAAAACAAAACAAAACAAACAAAATGGCGGGAATCTTTTCCCCCCCCCGTTAATGGTTGGCACTAAAAAAATTCGTCGTTACAACTTTCGAAAATTTTAAATTAATTAATTAACAAAAAAATAAAATAATAATAATAATAATAATTAAACGGAGATTGTACGGAATGATTACAAAGAATGACTATTCCTTTTGTCGTAAATAATAATAATAATAATAATAATAATAATAATAATAATAATAATAACAATAATAATAATAATAATAATAATAATGGTTATAAAACGAACAGACTAATTGAATCTACACGGTTACAGTTAGTAGTAAAATATTAAAAAAATTTATTTAACGGGTTATTTAAACAATTGACACGAAGTCAATATATATATAAATATATATTCAATTGTCCAGTAATAATAATAATAATAATAATAATAATAATAATAACGGTACCGATAAAATTTATCGTTTTTTTTTTTTTTTACTAAAAAACAAGTTCGCTTAATAATAATAATAAAATGATGACGATCGCGATTTGACGTTCGTTACAAACATTTTCTATATATACATAAAAATTATTATTATTATTTTCCTTTTTTTGTAAGAACAAGATTTATATTTACAATTTAAATAAAATATAATAATTAATTTCATCGTGATTTATTTTCATTTGAATTTATAAAAAATGGCGGCGAGTAATAAAAAAATTAAAAAAAAAAAAAAAAAAAAATTTATTTTCCATCAATCGAGATTGATTTTTCATTCGTAAGGTAAGTAAATAAATAAATAAATAAAATTCAAAATGGCGTCATATGATAAATTTCGCACGCGCGTGAATGAATATTAATAATAAGAAAAAAAATTTAAATCGAAAGGCATTACATATCTCGACGATTCGATATATCGATTTATATAAACGAAATATTATGTGTGGGTACGCGCGTACCTGAATCCTCACGACGACGACACGAAAGTACGCGCGCACTAACGAACGGGATTTAAGTACGCATGCACTTTACATAAGAGAGAGTATTAATGCGAATTTAATTAAAAATTTTTTAATGAAAAGAGTGGAATGCGTGTGCACGTGTGCACGTGCGTGAGTGCGTGTGTGCGCGTTCAAACATATGTACACGTACGTATATATATATATAAATAATAAATTAATAAGTTTTGACAAAGTCTCGTAAATAAAAAGGAAAAATTGTTAATTAAATAACCCGGGAAACTATTAATTTAATTTTCGAAACTTTAATTAGCTCCCCCCCCACTTTAACCTTTCCCATCTTACCCCCACACCCGTCGCCCCCCTCCAAAAATATTTTCTTTAAATTATAAAAACTTTTCTAAAAAGTTATTTAATTTTATCAAAAGCAAATCATGTGTGTGTGTGGTGCGTATATATATATATATATAAGCTTTTTCCTATCGATAAAGAAAACCTGGTTTGAGATAAAACTTTTTAATTTTCTCTCTCTCTCTCTCTCACTCACTTTTCTTCTCATCTCTTTCTAACGATCCTCACGCATCAAATCCTTTCGCATTTTATTAATGATAATGATGATGATGATGATGATGATGATGATGATGATGGTGGTGGTGAAAAAGAATGACAAAAACATTATGACCGTTTTTTAATACCAGGTGGTAATTAATATAATAAACACCTGTCCCCCTGCGAAACGATTTTAATTATTAATAATAATAATGATGATGATGATGATAATAATAATGATAATAAATTTATTGATATCAGATAAAATATTAATTTAATATTTTTTTTTTTTTTTAATCGATCAATCAATCAATAAATTTTTTTTTTTTTTTTTTTTTAATGTTTTCCACACAATTTCTCGCTTTCACAATTTTTCGTAGTTTTTTTTTTTCGAATGATTTGAGGGAGGGAGGGGAGGGGGAAAAAATAATAAAAAAATTATAAAATGAAGAGGTTTCGTAAATAATATACAATAAAAAAAAGTAACAATTAATGATGCAAACTCAGCATCTTCCCTGGACCCACGACAACCCATAACGTATACCTTAAATATCTCACGTTTAACGAACAGGTTGTCAGTTATTAATTTTATCTCGTACCTGACGGTTGATGGTTCGTATGAAAATACGTCGCGTTGCGTTTCCGTTTGCGTTTTAATAAAAAAAAGATTTTTTACGCCGCGTACGAGTGATAAGAACGCGTACGAATCGTTTTTAATAATTTTTTTTGATTCGGTAAATAAGGAGTCAATTTGAAAAAACTTTTTTTTTGCTGTGGGTGTTGTTTCTCCTCCTCTTCCTGTCGTGTTATACCCGTTTCCCACCCCCCCATCTTCCTCGACTCTCCCCCCCCGCGCGCCTCCCAGTTAAAATTACACTAAAAGGTTTTCGCTCGATAAAATTCAAAACTTTAATTTATTTTATTTTATTTTTATTCGAAAAGTTTTTTTTCTTTTTTTTTTTTTTCTGTGTGTGTGTGTGTGTTTGAAAAACGTTATAAGTTTTCGCGTCTTCTGCTAATAATAAAAATAAATAAATAAATAGGTAAATAAATAAAATTATTTTTTCAAAGTTTTCTTTCTTTTTTTTTTTTCTTTTTTTGTAAATTTGGTAACGCGATTTATTCCAAATGAGAAAATTGTTTAGAAAGATGTCGAGAATGAAATTAAAAATGGAAAATTTTTTTATATAAAAAGTTTATTATTTATTACAAAAGAGAGCGAAAGAGAAAAAGAGAGGGTGAGAAAGTTAGAAAAGAAATAGAGACAGAGAGGAGAGAAAGAGGGAGAGAAAGAGAAAGAGAGGGAAACAAAAGAGTGGGGAAAAAGAGAGAATGAAAAAGTTAAAAAAGAGATAGAGAAAGGGAGAAAGGAAGAGAGAAAGGGAGAGAGACAGAAGCAAAAGAGTGGGGAAAAACAGAAAGAAAGGAAAGAGAAGAAAGAAAGAGAGTAAAGTAGAAGTAAGAAAAAAAGAGAAAGTGAGAAAGTTAAAAAAGAATTAGAGAGAGAGAGAGAAAAAGGAAAAAAGAGAGAGGGAGAATAAGAGTGGGGAAAGAGAGAAAAAGACAGAAAGAAAAGAGAGAGAAAAAATAGGAAAAGAAAAAAGAATAGAGAAGGAGAGAGAAGCAAAAGAGTGAGGAAAAAAGAGAAAAAAAACAGGAAGAAAAATCAGAGAAAAAATAGAGAAAGTGTAGAAAAGAGAGGGAGAAGCAAAATAGTGTGGAGAGAAAGAAATGAGAGAGAGGAAATAGAGAAAGGAGAGAGAAAGAGAAAGAGAGAGAGAGAAAAACGATACAGTTAAAAAAAGCAAAAAAAAAAAAAAATAATTATTTAATTAATTAATCGATATCCTTTTACGTTCTCTCTTTATTATTATTAATATTATTATTATTAATTTTTTTTTTAATGAAAAAATTTTTTATTAAAACGCAGGTGCGTGTATGTAAGAAGTGCGTGCGTATGCGTGAAGGAGGGAACCCCCCCCCAAAAAAAAGGAATTTACAATAAAATCGAAATGTAATCATTATACCATACGCTCACAAACACACACAACGACAACGACGACGTCGACGACGGGGAAAATTTTTGGATGAAAATGTTCGTAAAAGGTCGGAAAACCTTTTGTGAATTTGAAACCTCCGGAGGAGGATTTTACAGTCCGACATCAAGTCCAGAAACCTTTTATTCGTCTACTCATTCATCAACATTAGCCAACCTTTCATCAAACGAATATTATTCTAATTGCTTTGGAAAAATGAAAAATATTCAAATAACGGAACCGGAAGGAATTCCCTTTTCCGATGATGAATCAAAATTAAAAGAATTTAAAAATTTCAATGATTTTTTCACAAAGGTAATTATTATTAATTTATCATCATCATCATCATTTTTTTTTTCTTCTTTTTTCCTTTTTCCTCCTCCTTTCTTCCAAATTTTCCCTTTGAACATTCCTACATTTTAATAATAATAATAATTTTAAACCTTTTCATTCTTTTTTTTTTCCTCTCTCTTTCATTCCCGTTTCCTTTTTTTTATTCCTTTTTTTTCCTTTCTTCCTTTCTTTTTTTTGATTTCCTTTTTTTCAATTCTTTTCCGAACGAAATAAAATAATAATAATAATAATGATAATAATAAAAAATAAAGGACAAGATTAATAATTATAAAATAATAATAATAATAATAATAATAATAATAATAAAATATTAATTTTTTCCTTTTTTTTTTTTTTTGTAAAACTCTAATCATCATCATCATCATGATTATCATTATTATTATTATTATTATCATCGTCATTTTTTTTTGAATTGAAGTTTACTCGACAATAAATTGTTTAATTTTTTAACTTCCATATTTGTTAAAAAGTTTTTTTTTTTTTATACACGATTACAATAAAAAAAAAAAGTTTTTTTTTTGAAAAAAAAGTTTTTTTTTTTTACGTGGTTTCGAATGAATTTAAATATAATTTATTATTATTATTATTATTATTATTATTATTATTATTATTATTATTATTAACAATAAAATAAAAAAAAGTTTTACGGCGTTAGTACAAAAAAAAAAAAAATTAACGTGGACTCCCCACTAGGGAAAATAGAAGGAAAATGAAGGAAAACTTTTCCCTCGTGTCTTAAAGAAAAAGATTACCTATTTTCATACTCCTCCCTTATCATTATCATTATTATCATTATTATTATTATTAATATATGCATGTGGGCAAGTTGAAAATATATGAATGCCTGAATTGGAAAAATATTTTCCTTAATAATATCATCATCATTATCATTGTCTTAAAAAAACAACGGTGAGTATCCTATACCGGCTATATATCCTGTCGCCACCTCTCTCTCTCTTTCTCTCTCTCTTATCTCTCTTTCTCTCTCTCTTATCTCTCTTTCTCTATTTCCTTCATCTCTTTTTTTCTGCTTTCTGTTTCTTTCACCCTGTCAAATTTCTCCCTTTCTATTTGCTTTCTCTTTCCCTGTCTGTTTTTCTCTCACCATTTCTCTTTCTCTGTTTTCTCTCTCTCTCTCTCTCTCTTTATCTTTTTTTCTCTTTCACCCTGTCTGTATTTCTCTCACCCCTTTTCTTTTTCTTCTTCTCTCTCTGCCTGTCTTTCTCTCACCCTTTCCCTTTCTTTTTTTTTTCTTCCTCTCCTTTTTTTCTGTCTTTCCTCTCTCCTCTATCTCCCTATCTCCATTTTCCTATCTCTCTTTCCCACTTTCTCTCTCTCTTCCCCGTTCCTCCTCCTAATTTCTCTCCTCCACCATCTTTATTTTTTTATCATCACTAACAGTTTTAAATCCATATTAAATACACAGTCTTTGTAGTTATTATTATTAGTATTATTATTATTATTATTATTATTATTATTACTTTATTTCCAGGGCGTTAATCAAAAATCATACGAAGGAAACGTAAAAGAAAATTACGTGCCTGTCATCCTGGGTAAAAAAAACGAAATGGAAAATGGCGAATCCATAATGGAAAAAAAATATTTAGGATGTGAGAGTAAGAAAAAATCATTCACGGAAAATCATCGGCGTGGAAATTCAAAGACGGAAAACTATCGTGAGGATGGTGACGGTGACGTCACCGCGTCGACGCGAGTGACGAAAACAAACTTCTACTACGACGATAAAAAATTTTTTAAAAAAATTATTAATAATAATAATAATAATTACGTGTGTGATAATTCGATTGAAAAATATCGCGACGTCGACGACGAACATGTTGATGGTGGTGGTGGTGGCGGTGGCAGTGGCAGTGGCGGTTTTATAAAAAACAAAACGTTCAGAACAACAAAAATAACAAACGATAAAGGAATAGAAATATTAAAAAGAAGACGTTTGGCGGCGAACGCGAGAGAACGGAAACGGATGAACAGTCTTAACGATGCTTTCGATAGACTACGTGAAGTTGTACCGAGTTTGGGAAACGACCGGAAATTATCAAAATACGAAACGTTACAAATGGCTCAAACCTATATAAGCGCACTTTATGCTCTGTTAAAAGATTGACCGGAAATAATAAATTATTTATCATTATTATTATTATCATTATTATTTACAAACACATCCGGAAAATACAAAAAAAAAAAAATTCACGACTTTCCTCACTTAAATCGTTCGCGACGTGGTAATAACAACAACAACAACAATAATAATAATTATTATTATTAATAAAACTAAAAACGAAGAGAATCACGTGGCAGGAGAATAATAATAATAATGAAAAAGTACGCTCGGTGCCATTTTTTATCCCGTAATTAAATAATAATAATAATTTTTAAAAACATCTCAATTATAAACGCGGCGGCGAACTTTAGAAAAAAAAAAAATTTTTTTTTTTTTTATTACTTTTAATACTCGTAAATCATTCCAGGGATTGTTCAACTGGAATTTTTTTTTCTATGTTTTCTTCTTCTTCTTCTTCTTCTTCACCTTCATCTTCTTATTCTTTTTTCAATCTTCTTGGGTAATGGTTCCGGTATTAATAATAATAATAATAACGCGTTGTTATTATTACGATTGTGTGACGATGCGAGTATTAAAAATAATAATAATAAAAAATTTTCTCCAGCTCCAGCAGAAAAAAAAATCGTTTTTCTTTTCTCTCTTTTAATTATTATAAATTTAATTAATTAAAATTAAGACAAACGTTTTGTTGTTTTTTTATTCTGAAAATTATTTTTAATTATTTGGAAAATTTTGAGAACGAACGTGAAAAACGTGCGGGCGAACGGGGGGCGAGCGTTTCATTTTCAAACGATTTGTTTTTACTGGTTGAAAAAAAAGGGAAATTTGTTCCGTTTATTCTCTTACTGTTTTATTACTATATACAAATAAAGAACAAAAAAGTAGAGAGAGAGAGAGAGAGAAGGACAAAATAGACAATAAAGAACGAGAGAGAGAGAGAGAGAGAGAGAGAGAGAGAGAGAGAGAGAAAGATACAAAGAAAGAAAGGGAAAAAATGAGAGAGATACAAAGAAAGAAAGGGGAAAATGAGAGAGAGAGACACACACACAAAGGAATAGGAAAAAAAAACAAGTGAAAAACAGGCAGAGCAAAAAGAGAAGTAAAAAGGAAAAGAGAGAAAGAAAACAGAAAGATACAAAGAAAAATGGGGAAAAAGGGGAGAAAAAAAGAGAGGGAGGGGAGGGAGGGGAGAGGAACAGAGAAAGAAAAAAAATGAGAAAGAGACAGGAAAAAAAGAGAAAAGTAGAATGAGAATGTTAGGGAGAGAGAAAAAGAAAGAAAAAAATAGAAGAAGAGAGGAAGAGAGAGAGAGAGAAATAAAGAGCCAGAAATAGAAAAAAAGAGAAGAAGAGAGATAAATAGAGAGAGAGAAGCAAAAGAGTGTGAACAGAGAGAAAGAAAGCAGAAAGAAAGGAGAGAGAAAAGAGACTGAGAGATAGTAAGAGAACAAGAAAAGGAAAGACTGAAACAAAGAGAGAGCCAGAAAGAGAGAAAAAGAAATAGAGAGAGAGAAAAAGAGTAATTTTTTTTTTTTTGCCCCAACAACCGGAAAAGAAAAATATAAGAGAAAATAAAAACTTATATATAAATAAACTTTTATGGATGGCAATAAAAAGAATTTTTGTTTTTCCTTCTTTTTTCTTTTTTCTTTGGAAGGAAACAGAAAACCGGAAACTATTGGAAAAATAAAAATGTTTTATATCGAATATCGAAATAATCGATAAATAAAAAAAAAATCTGTTGAAATTTTTTTTTTTTTTTTTTTGTTAAATTTATCACGAAAATTAAAAAGAAAAAGAAAAAATTTTCCGGTTCAACCCGAAAAAAAAAGAAAAAAATAAAAATTTTTTTAAAAAAAAAATAAGTAAATAAATAAACGCGGCGTTAAATTATTGGTTTTTCGGGAAATGGGGAAGGAGTGGTGGGGTAGAGGGTGGAGGCGATGATAACGTCGTTCCTTGTCAGATAAGAAAATTTATATATATATACATTTCTCGATTTTTGATAACGATAAGTTGAATGTAATAACGAAAAAAAACAAACAAAAAAAAAAATTTAAAACGTCTTCTGCTTTTTACATTTTCCCACCCTCCACCCCTCCCCATCCCATCCCACCTTCCGACGGTTTCGAAAATTTCAACTCCTCCTTACCTCCTCCCTTTGAAAAAATAAATTTCACCCTTGAAAATAAAAACAATCGGAAAATTTTTTTTTAAATGTGACGTCACTAAAAAATAAAAAGTAAAAACGAGTCCCTGGATAATTTATTTTTTTTTTAAGGAGAGGGGGGAGAGGAAGGAATTTTTTGTACCTCTCCCAAATCTCGAACCCCTCTTCTCCTCCTTTCCTCCGGAATGCACGCACGTATTTCTGTATTTATTCGCGTGTAAAAATTTTTCTCGATTAATTTTTTTTTTTAATATAAACTTTATAAATAATAATAATAATAATAATGATTATTATGATGACGATGATAAAGATGATAATGATGATGATGATAACAATAAATTAAATGCCTTTCTCTCCGAATGTTACAAAAAAAAATTAAAAAAATTATTATTAATTCAAATAAATTAATTATAATGATTTTGCTTAATAAAAAATTCCAGGTGAAAACTTGGAACGCACGCGCGCATTCACGCACTCGCTCACGCACGCACGCAATATTCCATAAGCAGAAACCAACAACGTTTTTTAATTATTTTTTACACATTTTAATATCCGGTTTAATCGTTAAGAATAGGATTTGGGTACGAGGGAAGGGAGGAAGGAAGGGAGTTCGGGGAAAGTGTTTTCTTCTTCCACGACATTTTAATAAGAGGAAAATTATGGGAACTCGCGGCGCGTCGGAAAATCCCCGTGCGAGTGTAAAAAAAATTAAATGACTGACAAACGTTTAGTTCGAAAAAAAAAAAAATCGACGACGTTATGTAGGTGACGTGGCGTTAGTGAATGTGCGAATTAGTTAGTGACACGACTTTTTATTACTACTTCGTTAATTTTTATAATTATTTACTTTTTTTTTTTAATGAGAATCCGCTATTAAAAAAAAAAAATTAATTCGAACGACGACGACGACATTTTTATTTTTTTATTTAATCAACGTTCGGTGCGTGTGTGTGTGTGCGTGTGCGTGAGATCGTCATGTTTCTTAATTTTTATGTTTATTTCTTCTATTTTTAATCGAATCGTTTAAAATAATTATTAAAAAAAAATGGCGGATTTTATTAATTTGTGTTAATATTTTTAAGCTTTAAATGTTTCATGACTCTCTCTTCGTCTTCTTTTCTCTCTCGCTTTGTCTTATTTTCTTTCTCTCTCTTTTTCTCTTTATCTTCTTTTCTTTCTCTCTCTCTCTCTCATCATTTAGTACTCCATCCTTTTCTCTTTTCCTTCTTCTTCCATTATTTTTTCTTTTTCTTTCTTTAAATCCAATACGTTTTTCCTTTTCTTTATATTATCATCCCACATCTTTACCTTTTTCTTTTTCTCTCTCCCCTTCTTCTTTCATTTTTTCCTCCCCTACCTATCCTTTTAATTTTTGCTTCCAATGTGCCGTTTACGAATATCAAAACAAAAAAAAAAACATAAAAATTTCGCATTTGTTTTCTTTCCAAAATGTTTCCCCTCACAAAAAATCATCCTTTGACCCTTTTTTTTATTTATCATCATCATCATCATCATCATCATCATCACCATCGTTTTCATCAAACGACCTTCCTAATTGATCGTTACACAAATCGAAAACTCGTCCACCTCCCCCCCCTCGAAAAATAAAATTTTTTTCTTAGTCATGATGTTGTATTAACACGTGAAAATTATCGGTTCACAAATAAGTCGCATCTTTTATCGGGTTCGGTCTCGATAGAACATTCGATCCGCTTCTTCTTCTTCTTCTTCCACTTTTTCTTTTATGATGAATTGCTTTACTATCAAATTATATTCATTTAAGTTTTTTTTTTTTCTCCTCTTTTTTCGGTTTCTTTTTTAAAGAGGGAGGGGAGGGGGTTTATTTCCGAATAAATTTTATAAAAATTTGTCCAAGGTAACAACACCTTCATTAAATATATATATCAAGGTTTTAAACTTTTTTTTTTGTTGCAATCAATTTCTTCTGGTGATTTACTCGAGACGGCGGCAATTACCTTTTTCAACTTTGAAATTATCACCTACAACAATATCGGGTCTCGCCTCTCTCTCTCTCTCTTTCTATCTTTCTTTTATGTCCTTCATTTTCTCCCTATATATCTTTCTGTTTTGTTTCTCTCTCTTTATCGTCTCTCACTTTTATCTTTCCGCTTCTGTTTCTATCTATCTCTCTCTCTTTCACTCTTTCTCTTTGACCGTCATTCTCTTTCTCTCATTTTTTCTCTCTTTTATGTTTCTATTTTATCCTATGTCTCTGTTTCTTTCTTTATCTTTTCCTAATTTTTTTTTTCTGCTTTTGTTTCTATTTTTTTTCTTTTTTTAAATTCTCTTTTTGCTCTACGTCTTTGTTTCTATCTCTCTCTCTCTTTTACACTCTCCCTCTCTTCCACTCTTTCTCTTTTTACCTCATTCTCTCTCTTTCTTCCTTTTTCTTCGTTTATTTTATTTCTTTCTTCCTTTTTCTTCCTTTATTTTCTCTCTTTTTCTCTTCTTCCCTCTCTCTCTTCCACTCTTTCTCATTTTCCTTCATTCTCTTTCTTTTTTTTATGTTCCTTATTCTACCCCAAATTTCTATTTCTATCTTTATCTTTTCCTACTTTTTTCTTTTTGCTTCTGTTTCTATTATTCTTTTTCATTTTTTTTCATTCCTTCTCTTTTCCTCTCTGTTTGTTTTCGTCATTCTCTCTCTCTCTTCCACTCTTTCTCTTTTTCCTTCATTCTCTCTTCCTCTCTTCCACTTTTCCTTCCCTTTCATTTGCCCTCTTTTCCTTTCTCTTTCTGTTTCTCTTTTTTTCTTCCAATATTTATTTCTATCTTCCTTTCTTTCTCTTTTTTTTCTCTCCTTTGCCTTTTTTTCTTCTCAATCTATCTATCATTTCGGTTTGTTATTTAAT